AAATCCTTTTATTCACACATTCATCTGCCCCTTAAACAGATCTACCACCCATCATGACCGACCCCGCTCTTCAAATCCCTGAAGTCATCCAAACCGCCTCCATCAACCCGGAGCCGTCCGCGGAACACGACGTCAACCCGCCCACCGCAGCCTCCGAGAAGCAGCCCGTCGTGGAAGACGATGTCGCCTCCGAAGCAGGCAGTATCCCCTCCGATGTCGTCGCCCCCCACCGCATGATCAAGCCCGTCTCGCGACGACACCAGCTGCCTCCATTGCCCGATCTGCGCTTCGAACAGAGCTATCTCGCCAGCTTGCGGGGAGCTGATACCTGGGGTCGAGTAGCTTGGATTACTATCAGAGACCAGGTAGGCTACCTGCCTGTCTTGCAGTATTCCACTGGAAGCAGAAGAGACTCCAAACTGACACAAATGCGCTATAGGTCCTCCTCCCTCTTATCCAGGGCACCGTCTGGACTCTCGCTCTCTCCGGCTGGCGATTCTGGAACCGCAACGCGTCCCTCAGTGGCCAGACACTTGGTAGCAAGATCCGGAGATGGTGGTATGAGGTGAACAACTGGAAGTTGCCTCCCCTGCGGTCGACTAAGGATCCTCGCATTGCTGCGAAGGTGGAAGACGTGAGTGCATCCATTGCCATAGCCCATTCCCGTCGCTCTATTTCTCTTTCGTTTTACGTTCCTTGAGATATTCCTATTTCAAAATGATTCCATTTGCGGGAGTATTCGGTTATATATCCCAATGAGACGGACACTGACATTTGCGGAGTTCTTGCAGTTCTACACGGCCCAGTTCTCGAATGCCGGTGCTGACTAGGTTGTCTTTTTGAGTTTATTTATATGGTTGTAAAGGTAGTGACGTGACTGTGGGTGTCTACTAAAGTCTGCATTTCGGGAGTTTAGCGTACGGCGTTTCGCATTGATATTAAGCTTCCCCTGATATAGCCTGGAGCTTTCAATTTTTCTACACACTATCTCTAGTATCTACACCCAAGGGACACGAGACTTCTATTGTTTCATCCCAATCTTGCAATTTAAATACTGTACATAGCGCATAGCAGCCCTAGCAAGAGGTCTGTCCGTCCATCTGGTATTCCATATAGTAGTATGACAGATTATATCTCTGGGTCAAATACTCCTTCATCACTCTAATACCGATCAATTCACGGCCATAGTCATCCTGCTATATAGCAGTCACCGTAGAATTCCATACCACACACGTCGCATCTCTAATAACAGCACAATTTTTTTGCGCAAAGCTTGACCCGACAAATCCCACCCACGAACAGAAAACGCCTTGAAAAATAAAAAAAGTGTGAGCGAGTTATATCTCAAGTCTGACAAGAAATATCGTATTTCGGTGGATAACTCTATCGAGACCAGAAAATCGGCCGCTCTCGGGACATCGGGCCATTGGTACTGTGTTTGTTATAGTATATGTGTCTTGCCTAGTTTCATTCTTTCTAAGCTGTTTGGGTCTTCGTCTCAGTCGCAGTCGGCTGCGATACATCGACTTTGGCAGAAGTGTCAGTTGTGGTGACATCTTGGGCTGCGGGCGCAGCATCAGGTAGCGTCTTTGCGACCACGTCTGGTTGGGAGCTCTGCCCGTTCACTGCGGGCGGTGGTTGTCCTTGCAGTGCATCTTCCGCACCGGTCGCCGTGACCGGTTTAGCCACATCCTCCTTGCTCTCCGGATCTTGCTGTAAGGGTTCCTCTGTTGGGCCATTGGGGCTACTTGGGACCTTGTCCTTATTGTACCTGAGCTGTACCACAAGACTTGGTGGTTCTCCGTTCATCACTGCTTCATCCCCACTCAGCTCCTCTTCGTCGTCGCCCTCGAATTCGTTGTCCTCTTCTTCCTCGCCTTCGTTTCCTTGCCACTCATTTCCGCTGGATTGTCCTCCCTCTGAACCTTCATCCATTTCTTCATCGTCGTACTCTGTATATCCATTTGCTCGAGTCGTCCGACCCCTTGTGGGTCTACCCTCGTCGCCAGCATCGCCGTCCTCGCGTTGTCCACTCAATAACGTCTCGCCATAAAGGCCGCCTGCGCGAGACCGTATTTGCCTACCACTGGCTGTGAATCTGGGGCCGGCTGGTTCTGGGGGTGTGGAAATTCCCGAGGTGTTGCGCGTTGAGCGCCGTGTAGAAGGAAGGCCATCAGAGAAGATGTCCTCGTCATCGGAGTAGGTGTATTTCAGTTTCTTCCCGCGAGTACGGCCTTCATATAAGGAGAAACCAGGCTCCGGCCGAGCGAATGCCGCCTTCCGCGCAATCCGGTAATCTCGACGCTTGCGTTTCTAGCACTAGTAAGCACCGATGAAAAGAGCCACGAATAACAGCGGCAGCTTACCTCCTCTGAACCCTCGAAGCGGGGTATAGAGTTCCTTATCCTCTCACTGAGTTTCTTGGAGTGTATGCTTTTCTCGCCGTCAAGTCTATCCGCAACTGCCTTCAACTCAGGGATATTTCCTGCGATACTCCACCAAGTAACATTCTTGAGGGCTGGGTTACCCTCGCGGTACAGTCTGAAATGTGTATCGTCCAACCCTTCAATAAGCCAGTATCTGCGCTTGAGGCCGTCGCGGCCCCACGGTTGGACGGAGAGTGGTTGGTTCAGGTCGTCTTCGTGGCGTGCCTGTTTGTAGGACTCTTTGATTTTGGCTTGGATGGCATCGGACGAGGCAAGGGACCAGAGGATCAAGGATTTCAGTAACACCAACTAGACAATGTCAGTATACGAGCTCTCAATAGTTTTGGTTCGAGTTAGGCGACGTACGCGTTCTTCTGGCGACATGGTTGCGAATGTGCGACCCCCGTGCAGAGGGTTCTTGCCTTGCCAAGCCTTAGGCCACTGAGAAGCATGGGTTTGGATCGCCTCTTCCAAAGGACGCTGGTAGTGATTCCGACTGCGCATTGATTAAGCGAGTTAGCTTTGATGTATTGTAACCAGCATTGACACATATGTGGTCGAAAAGGAGCTCCCCGTCGTATCTTCCAAGAGTGTAGGGTCTGGGGCGTAGGAGGCAGTCATACTCGACATCCTTCTTCCTGTTCAATACCAATCCAAGAAATGCACATAACAATCTCTCAATATGATCGCCTGGAGGAGATTCCGCGACGCCTCTTTCAACATCTTGTGGTCCAAAGTGTGGTGTAGATCGCGGGAACGCATCGTTAAAACGCGCACGGAACATTACAATGAACTACAGATTGCGACAGGTCAGCAAACATGATCAGGAAACGTGCCAAACGCGTCCAAAGAGCTTTAAAAGAGACTTCATAATCGTAGAATCCTCCCGGAACATACTGCAATATCTGGATTATCCGCCAACACATATTCGTGGGGTGGTGAGGGCTCCCGCTTCGGCGGCGGAGATTCGGACTCCTTCTTGAAGTATTTCGTGATGCCGACGGGCTCATCAATGGCCATGGAGCCCGTTTCTTCATCGGACGGAGGCGCCGACGAAAGCGACGATAGGTCCGAGTCTGAGAGGGACATGTTCGACATGTTTGTGGTGCTGTCCGCAGGTGGTGGTGGTGAGGCAAGACAGAGCGGGCGAATCCGCGGCAGAAGTTCTACTTTACGCTACTGCTACCTACTTGGGTTGGAGCGCGGCTTTTACGCGCCTGGCCTGTCTGGCATCATCGAGAGCAGCCCTTATCCAGGGATGATCAACACCCAGTCACGATAACACGTTCGCTATCGCGGACTGAGCTCCATCAAACGCGCAACAGGTCCGCGGAACAGACTACATTCAGAAGATTTCATCGATGACTGTCATTAAGTGCAAAGTAGCTTTGGATCATGAAATTTGAATCTCTTAATAGATCAATACTACCCGAGCGTCCGCTCCAACAACGGAGGAGTGTAACTAATCGTCAACCAGCGCGACTAAGTTCTTCAGATTTCCGGCATTGGGTCTTGCCCTAATATCATTTCTGAGGGCATTTGGGCGACGTTCCCTTGAGCAGACATACAGTTCTGCAAGAAGTTGTCAACATTCGACTCGCCGGATGTGACATGGACAGTGTGTCGATCCACATTAAGCAGCCTGGTGGCGTGAAGATGCCAGGATAACCTTGTAGCAGTCTCCCCAGGCGCGTAAGACCCCATTTGTCCGGGTACACTTTGTGACCTTTTGAAATTGCGGATCGGTGGGTGACCCTGAGGCGGCCCGGGGACATGTAGAAAGCCCAACGACGGAACGAGATGCGGCAAACATCAAGATCCCGTTTCGCTGACCCGGATGATCAAATTTGACCACTCTGAACCAGTATGATCTGTTTACATGGAGAAAACACTCAAGTGATATAGAGACGCCAGTAAGACAATAGTGCTATTAAGCCAGGTCAGCCCGGGTCAGATATTATAAGGCGGTGGCTTGAATCAATAGCCCACTGCAAGGACATCTCAGGTAGCAGCAGCAGGAGAAATACTGCTTGTCAAGAGATGGAATCCGACATGGATGAACCGCAAGTGACCGGGACAGAGACAGGATAGATGAATGGGAAGCGGCAGTTCAAATAAGAACGAGCAAAATGAAGTGTGGAATTCAGGAAGAAGGGAAAGTATGTATCTAAAAGGAAATTAAATACCGACAACGGCTGCATATCATCAGCAACCTCACTACTTTGCAGTCATAATAATCTTTCTTTACTCTGATGATAGCAGAGTTCACCAAATGCAAGCAAGATATGCTCGTTAACCGCTTAAGTCCAACGTTAACGTTAGTTATACCGTCTTAGTAAGAAGGCGACCCGCGCCACGCAGCCGCGCCCACAAAACCACACTAGTCCTAGCGCGGTTAGATTAGCGACTTCCACCCTAAAGCCCACACAGCCCTTCGCCGACGAATTCTCAACACCAACCCGACAAGCCCAATCTTAGCATTTTGAGGTACGAGAACTCGAACTCTCCCACCACAAGGTCGCCAGGCGGAACTTTCTCAATACTAACGTCCAGGTTCCTATATAGACAGTCGCCATGGGTCGCGTGATCCGCAACCAGAGGAAGGGTCGTGGATCCATTTTCAGTGAGTGCGACCAGCAGAAATCATATTGAAGCGAAATTCGCTGCATCTCCAGATCAATTTTTACTGATACAATTTTTCTCGCTCGACAGCGGCAAACACCCGTCTCAACAAGGCTCCTGCCCAGTTCCGCACCCTCGACTACGCTGAGCGTCATGGATACACTCGTGGTGTCGTGAAGGAGATCATCCACGACCCCGGCCGTGGTGCTCCCCTCGCCAAGGTCCAGTTCCGTCACCCCTACAAGTTCAAGACCATCACCGAGACCTTCATCGCCAACGAGGGCATGTACACCGGTCAATTCGTCTACGCCGGAAAGAACGCCGCCCTGACTGTCGGAAACGTCCTTCCCCTCGCCTCCGTCCCTGAGGGTACCGTTGTTACCAACGTCGAGGAGAAGGCTGGTGACCGTGGTGCTCTTGGTCGTACCTCCGGTAACTACGTTACCGTCATCGGCCACAACCCTGAGGAGGGCAAGACCCGTGTCAAGCTCCCCTCCGGTGCCAAGAAGGTCGTCAAGAACACCGCCCGTGGTATGATCGGTATCGTCGCTGGTGGTGGTCGTACCGACAAGCCTTTGCTCAGTATGTCTCCGAAAATCCGGCTCCATTGGATCTATCTTAGGAGAAAATGCGGTTAAGGAAGAGGACTTTGATGGCTAACAAATTCCCTACAGAGGCTTCTCGCGCCAAGCACAAGTTCGCTGTCAAGCGCAACTCTTGGCCCAAGACCCGTGGTGTTGCCATGAACCCCGTGGATCACGTAAGGCTCCCTTGGATGATTTGGTCGATTTATCTACAGGTTCTGACATGTTTTCTCTACAGCCTCACGGTGGTGGTAACCACCAGCACATTGGTAAGGCCTCGACCATCTCCCGCTACGCTGCCCAGGGTCAAAAAGCCGGTCTTATCGCTGCCCGGAGAACTGGTCTGCTCCGTGGTACCCAGAAGACCAAGGACTAAGCGTGATATTGTGTGGAGTTTTCTTTGTGACGGGTTGAAAATGCTCTTTTGCTATGAGGCATATGTACTTAGGCGACTGCGGATAATCTCCCACGCGTCCTTAGCGAATCTAGGTCGTGGCCACCAAATATTCTCATGATGACCAAAGCAAAAGAAATGGGTTCAAAAAATTCAAATCCGGGTGCATGTTTTTTGAGATATCCTATTTTTAAACGGTAGAAACTAGGAAGATCTGTTTCCCAAGTCTTCACGTCCGTTAAGAAACCGTATTGCGCGATTCGTACCAGAATCGATTTTGGGCCAGCCTTGCCAGTATCAGAATTAGACTCCCATAGTGCAACTCGCTCTTTTGCCTGGGGCTTTAAAGATCAGTCGGTATCTATACGCTACCTGCTCTTCAAATAGGTGTAAGCGAGCGCTCGGCGGCTGACAGATTGATGGGCTTTGACTTCCGAGGGTACTGTAATTTTTCTCTGCCCACTACTTACTATGAAGGGGAACAATACTATCCATCGATGCCTTGGATACCCGCCAACTTCTTCAGAATCAATAGTACAGCCACCGATAATAGTATCCCCAGATACGTATTGTGGATCAATCAGTTGACAGACGCCATAACAATCCTGCTAATTACGAATATGGTTGAGCACAGACAATCTATCCTCTTACCGCAGTGCCTGTGCTCAGATCGGATATATATCTGTCTTCTCACCAGACTGCGAATATCGTCGGAAATATTCTTCATTGTCATCATACAAGACTCCTAATGCAATCAATGGGAAAACACATAGGTCCTAGAGGTCTTCCCTTGCTCTCCTCATGGCATAACTACTACAAAGTGTAAGATGAAATGTCAATGATGCATGACACTGCAGCAACCGAGATACAAAACCTTGCTCTCAAAGTGACCAATCACAGCCAAATACCATGTACCACAATACTTATTCCCCCAGGAATAAATGGAGGCGAAATTCAAGCATGATTAACACCATAGACCGATTAGCTACTTACATATACAACATACCTCCCCAATGATAACCACTACTACTATATCTACAATGTCACCATCACAAACTCTCCCCCCTCTCCCTCTCCCTCTCCCAAAACCACTCCCCTCCATGTCATCATCCTCCACATCCCCCTCCACCCGCTGGCTCGCCATTCAAACCCGCGACCCAAGATACACCAGCACCTTCGTGTACGCCGTCCTCACCACAAAAATCTACTGCCGCCCAACCTGTCCCGCGCGTCTCGCTCGCCGAGCCAACGTCCGCTTCTACGATACAGCCTCGCAGGCCGAGCGTGCAGGGTTTCGCCCCTGTAAGCGCTGCAAACCCGAGATTGTCATTGACAATAGCAACAACAACAACAACAACAACAATAACAACAATTTGTTTGGGGCGGACCATAACACTACTCAAAGTAGTGTGAATGGTGGTGGTACAACTATTTTCCATCCGCAGATCCACTCAGTCCAGAGAGCTTGTCAGACAATCCGGGCTTCTGTGCAAGCGGGCTCGAAACCGACGTTGCGGATGCTGGCGGCGGAGGCGGGACTGACGCCGAGTCATTTCCATAGGGTGTTTAAGAGGGTCGTGGGCGTTACGGTGGGGAGGTATGTGGGTGATATTGTTATGAGGACGAAGGGGATGGGTTGTGACGGGGAGGTGGAGGTGTTGGAGGGAGCGTGTAGGGATTGGGTTGGGGGTGTGGGTGATGGATGTGGTGGTGATGGATGTGGTGGTGATGGATGTGGTGGTGATGGATGTGGTGGTGATGGATGTGGTGGTGATGGAAATGGGGCTGGGGCTGTTTTGTGGAATGACTTTGATGTTTTGTTAGCCGCTGAGGGGGAGGATAGGTTCGTTGCGACCACTACTACTGTTGCTATGCAGGATGTACAACCGGTGCAGGATCATGAGGAACTTCTGGCTTGGCGTGCAGTGGGTTCTTACGGCGTTGGCGTTGGGGGAGGGTGTTCGGTTGATGAAACGCTTGCATTGGGCGATATATGATACTTTAAGTTGTTTTAAGCACCTGATGTGTTTTAGGGTGAGAAGGAATGAAACCTTCTGAGGGGAACGGGGATCTCAGATTAAGCGACATTGTCGCATGACATGCACTGCCTCGATGGGACCTTACGGTAGGTTGTATACGCGTACCTGCTAAATCAATGTCTTGGTGGTGGGTTTGCCGCGGATGTTGATGGATTACGTATTCGTATTCAGGGGAGGAGTGAGACAGGGGATGATGGATGGGCTATGTGCTCCAGTTCGATTCTGTCAGTACGTCCAATTGAACTTGTCTGGGATCCCGCCTTCAATTTGCGGATACACGGCCTGAATATGATCGAAATGATTGCATTCATGATCGGTTTAGGGAGCTTTCATTGTTGCGACGGTTCAGTTCCCTATTCTTCCGTATTGATCGTGTGGATATTTTCCATGGATATCGAATAGCGAAGAAACCATGTGTTTGAATATAATATACTAAATACAGGGAACGGTTGAATGACAGCAAAAGAAGGCCGTTGAATCTAATAGTCAGTGTGTTGCTAACTGCCCGAGGGTATAACACGTGACTATATCAAGGAACCAGTTCGAGCATGACCGTATAAGGAGGTTGTTATCATGATGAGGTATATGACGAATGGTCATGATCTATTTGGTCTTTTGTGCGATAGTATATGCATCTTGAAACCTTGGGGATAGTAGTAAGTTTGGCCAGTGTTGTTTGAGAATGAATGAATTGGGAAAGAACCAAGTATATATACTGAGTAGTACTAGTATTGCCTGATCCATTGTAATCTCGAACCAGACTAGTACTCCACAAAGCTTCCGTGCAGTGGTATCAGTATTCTCGAAGTCGACCTTTGCGTACAGAAACCCAGCAAATCTATCACCCCTGCGTTAGTGCCGAGGCGTTGAGCAGTGTGGTGGTGTTGAGATGTGCCTCTAACCCGCCTTTGATCCTCGGGTCCCACTTTACTCCGTGTAGGGGTCTCCTTTCTTTCTCAAACACAAGGTGTGATCGTTGCCCGTTTGACCATGACCTCCGCATCGAATGTTTGTTTCAGATTGAGAAAGAGATGTGGGTTCGAGGTCGTCATGATTTTTGATAGGTTTGATAGCAGGATCTACGAATCATGTCTTGGAGCCCCGGATAAGATCATCTTGAGATACTTTGTGCCTTCACCCAATGTAAAGCAGACTCCATGCGATTGAACACTGCAGTGATATTCCAGCAGTACGTGGTCGTAATCTTACCTACAGTTTCTTGCCAGATAAGCTTTCATGGCTCACCAATTGCCATTGTTGTCGATGCATTGACCGGGTCTTGCATCATGGTCTGATGATCGCGTCAACACTGGCGCTTTCAGATTACCGTGTAGAGTCATGATCAGAGGGAGGATTATGGGTACAAAGTACTTATCATACAGTAGGGGCCTCTTCTGCCGTGTCTGTCGCTTTGGACCCTGAACCATAATTGCTTATTGTTGGATTTCTCAGAATTCCTTCCGAACATATTGTGGAAGATCTTTACACAGCCTACAGTTCATCATTGGGGCAGCCCCACCTATAAAGAACAGAAGCTTTACCCTGAGCCTCTTAAACATCACAGTAATTCTCTGATGGAATGAACCAACCTTTTCGATGCTCTCTGGATTCCCAAACTCATAAGACGGTGTATCTAGACCATCTGGCTGCTGGGTAAGTAGCCGCCCACAGTCTGTTCTGAAAATAGAACGAGACTCAACTGGTGGCAAAGAGAGCTTCCAATGGAGGACCACGTTTGGGACTGACCATCGGCCATCGACCGCCAATCGACGGCAGTGGATCCCCACTGCAATGGCCCACAAACGCGTGTCACATCCGGCAGTCCAGAATCTGCTCTGGCCTATGACGCTTCTCAATTCTGATACACCTCTAGATCCGCTCAGGTCTTTTTGACAAACCCGGTTTTGCAGGTCGAATGATAATGATAGGCCTTCGTCAGCAACTTATCAACCGGCTGTGCCACCGGACTGCATCTGTACCTTGGCTAAAACCAGCTAAAGTAGACCAACCCACTAGTTGGAAATTCCAGATAGGAGAGCTGCTAGGTTTCAGGTACACCTCATCCTGCTGGGCCAACTGAACTTAATTATGGCGGTTCTGGCCCCGCCTCCACTGGCCATTGGAGGGATCGAACCCTCCATCCATTACAGGGACTTTGGTTTGCTTCGCACTCCGTTCTGTATGATGGTTGCTCTTGATTTACTGGCTGCTCAGGGTTCAGGAAGAGTAGAATCAGTACATAAAGCATGCTACTTGTGAAAGATAGAAGGGGATGGGGCAGCGTCACCATGCAACCAAATTCTTTTTCCCGGGTCGGTTTTGTCGAGTGTTGGTGGGGGAGAAATTCTGCTGGGAACCTTGAAAAGGCAATGTGGCGCTTTCCGTGCAACCAGCTCTCCATTGGAGAGTTGTCTGGCCCGCTTGCGATTGGCAATAGCATTGTGGTCTCGTTGCTGTCTGTCATTCCTCGATCAACACTGCCATGGTCGCAATCGCTGCCCCGGATTTACTAATAATATTCTCTCTTGCCCGGAAAAAATAATGGTTAGCAATAATAAAATTAAAATAATAATATTAACACTAATCAATAGGCATAATAATAGTAAAAGGAAAAAAATGATCCCACCTGCTAACTAATTTCCCCTGTCACCCTTTTCGAGCCTTCCCTTAAGACCCAACCCGTCCCTCCTCCTTGTCTGTCGCAACTCTGCTGCACCTTTTCTCACCACCTACCCTTTCTTTTTCTGCTTTCTTTCTCATTTCTCGCCTCCTGGCTGTGGCGCCATCTTTTTGTCTCATACGCAGCAGCGTGCTTCTTACGAATCGTGTTTCTTTCGTTTCAATCCCTCTTGCAACAACCCTCGATTCTAGAAACAAACTTCATCTAGACGGTTTAGCTTGGTTTCTGGTCGCATAGTAACCTCGTTTCTCTAAAGAATAAACCTCGGATCAATACAACATTCGCTTTCCCACTCTATTTTCTATCCACTATCATAATCCGTCAACATGAACGTCAATCGCAAGTTCGATCGCTTCAAGCAATGGGCGGGGGAGAGAATGGGCGGAGAGGCCAAAACCACTCTCTCTGATGACTTCAAAGCTATGGAGACGGAGATGAACGTGCGCCACGAAGGTAAGCATCACAACACTCAAGACGTATGGTATTGATCCAGCTTATTGACTCATGCGCCTCCCATTTAGGAATTGACCGTATCCACAAGGCGACTGGCTCTTACATCAAGTCCATTTCAAAGCGGAGCGAAGGTGACGATAAGGAAAAGACCTTGCCCATTGCTCATCTGGGTAGTAGCATGGTTGGCCATGGCGAAGACTTCGATGCGAACTCTGATTACGGCCGCTGCATGACCAGTAAGCTAACACAAATGTCAAATCGCATTCCTATCCTAATGACATTATTACACAGTGCTTGGAAGGGCTGAGGAGCGCCTGGCTCGACTCCAGGACGCTTACATCTCGCAGGTGAATGCGGGGTGGCTTGAGTCGCTGGAGCATTCCTTGACTCAGATGAAAGAGTACCAGGTATGACGGATCGCAAGCGCCAGTTGAGTGGTATGAAATACTGACCCTATGTTCTATAGGCTGCTCGCAAGAAGCTTGACAGCCGTCGTCTGGCCTACGATACCTCCCTCTCGAAGATGGAGAAGGCGAAGAGAGAAGACTTCCGCGTGGAGGAAGAGCTCCGGACCCAGAAGGTCAAATACGAAGAGGCCAACGATGATGTGTCTCGGCGCATGCAGGACATTAAGGATTCCGAAGTTGACGGTGTTGCGAACCTGGAAGCGTTCCTGGAGGCTCAGCTTGACTATCACGAGCGCTGCCGTGATGTTCTTCTGCAACTCAAATATGAGTGGCCAAACAGGTGAGCATATTCTGAACTATCGATCTACCTCGTCATGCTAACGTACTAGTAGAGCTCAGCCTCCCAGCACCCGTCGTCCAGGACGCCCTCGCTCAAACACTGCGCATTCCTACCATGAACGTTATGAACCACTACATGAGGAGGCCGACAACACGGCTGATCTGCGTCCTATCATCCGATCGACCAGAGCGTCATCGATCGAGCCCTCTGCCAGAGAGGTCTATCCGCCAGATGCTTACTCTCAGCGACCTGTTCTGAACAGAACCTCGACATTTGAGGGACCTACGCAGTTGCGCCAAGAGCAATCTCCTGGCACATACCAATGGCCATCTCGCGCAGCCAGTGACAACTATATTGGTCGCAGAAATAGCGTGCAGTCCCGGACCATGGGCAGACCATATGTTGATCCGTACATGGAGCAGTCGGAGGATGCTAGTCCTGTTAGCGGCACCAGTCCCGAGAGGACGTATATGGGCCGGAACCCATCTCCAGTCTCTTCGTATGGAGGTGCTGTCTCGAGAAAGTCCAGCTCTACTACCTTGAACGGCACACCACTGAACAAGAAGGCCCCTCCACCCCCGCCTCCCCGCTCCAAGAAGCCTGCGCCGCCACCACCCCCCATGAAGCGCCCCATTCTCAGTGCAGGCGAGTACTGAGTTCTTCTATTTGGTCACGGTGTATCTTACTACGAACAAGCTGGAGCTTGGAGGATTTGGCGGGCTATATACCAAACTGTTGCTCACGGATTTCCGGCAAATCCGTCTAGCGTGGGTGACCACATATGCGCCGTATTCATCTCTACTGGGGAGTGATGAATACAACTAATGATTCAGCTGGCAAAGCCTCGCACGGTCGCTAGTAGTCTGAAAGGGATGATCAGCGATAATTCGGGCCTGCACCAGCAGCTGTGGTGGATGATTGCACAGACGTGTTGGTGCATAAGGGATAAGGGATAAGGGATTTCTTTTTTTTCTTCTTTTTTAGACCGGGTTGGTAGTGTAAATTATTTAGCCCTTGGGATAGGCCTTAATCAAGTCATCGGCGTTTGATGCTGGCGTATTCGTATACGCACCTCACTATAGTCTAGCCTTAACGTAGTATCCCGATGTTAGCGCGGAGTGCCGAGGGCGGGCACGACGCTAGTCCCAAGGCGGGTATGCCGGCGAGCAGGCCAAGCTGAGTCAGCGACGGGCGCGGGAAGTGAATACACGTGACCCGGCACGAAATCTTCTTCCAACGTCTCGCCGCCTGCCTCTCCTCGTTACAGGCACAGGCTGAGCACCGCCAGTTTCCCCGACCAGCACGGAAAGTCGCGAAAGCCCCGTCCCCTCCATCTCCATTTCATCCAGACTGGCCTTCCACGCGCCTTTTCCAACGCGGCCCCTCCGTCTGGGGTCCTTTCTACCCCTACATCCTCGTGTTCTACACCCCCTTCCCCCTTCTTCCTGATTCTCCTGTTTTGTCGCCTACCGCCCTGTGTCTCCTCCGGCTTGGTCCAAACATCACGAAACTTGTCGCCAAGGTCCAGATACAGGCCGCTACCAGTCGCATTCATCGACATAAGGAGCCCCCCATCCCTCCACATCAGTAATTTAGCGCACTCGATCGCCCTTCCCTGCGCGAATTGCCATTTACCCTCGCCGTCCTCAATTCCCACGTGTTTCCCTAGGCGCTTGTTCGGGGCCTGTCGCATCCAGGTCGCTTCCACGTCGCCCCCCAGCGTGTCATTTCGCTTATGACTACGTCCACCACGCGCTAAACCATGGCTTCTCTCCAGTCAGCACCCAGTATGGCGGCTGGAAACATGTCGTTGCCGCCAAACATCACGCAACAACAAATCCAAGAGGTCTTCCAGGTATGCTTTTCCGTCCCTTGTGGAAGCACTACCATCACTTCGCCCTTCTATCCTACTTGCTTTCTTTTCCCTCAGTATATTGTCAATTGGTCTTCAAATGGAAATCCTTCTGACATGGCTCTCCAATAGAAATTCAAACAGATGCAGGAACAAGGCGTTCGCCATGATGACCCTGAATACCTCAAGGCCCACAATCTTCTATCAGCCTTCCAGCGGCAACAAGCCTACCACAAACAGAGGCAAATGCAACAGCAGCAGTTGCAGGTGCAGCAACGTCAGCAGCAGCTCAATGGCTCGAATACCGAGGCTGTCGCTGCGAATGGCATGAATGGTACGTCCCATCTCCTATCATCGCATATTACATATATGGCTTTCTCACTGACTCGGAACTATCGTAGGCCGCAATAACTCTATTCCCAACGCGACGAATACCAATATACCGGATGCTAGCGCGACAGGTGGTCAACAGCCTGCAACCCAGGGCGCACCTCAGAAAGGCGCGGCTGGAACTGGAAACAGTTTCTCTGCTGAGCAGCTTGCAACGCTTAGGAACCAAATCCTAGCTTTCAAGATGCTATCGAAGAACCTGCCGATTCCGGCTCGCGTTCAGCAGCAACTTTTCCCTTCGAAGAAGCAGGAGACCCCTGCGCCGTCCGAGAATGTCGCGGCAGCGGAAGGCGTCTTGGAAGCTGCTGCTCAGAGCAAGCCTGATCAGCCTGCAGCTACAACAGAGGCTCCTCAGCACAAAGATTTCTACCAGAACTTCCAGTCGCCTTACGATCTGATACCCAAGACTGTCAGCTTTACCGACCACGCCTCCCGCGCCAACCGCATGCGTATTCCCGCCTTGATGCCACCTGGAATTGACCTCGAGCAAGTGCGCGAGGAACGCGAAATAGCCCTTTACAACAGAATTAACGCACGAAAGGCGGAGTTGGCTGAGCTTCCTACCAATATTGGCGCGTGGGACTCTAGCCAGAGCGACACCGCCACTGGAGACGATTCTGTGAAACTCAAGGCCCTTATCGAATACAAGATGCTCAACCTTTTACCGAAACAACGCCTTTTCCGGAAGCAGATCCAAAATGAGATGTTCCATTTTGACAATCTGGGCATGACTGCGAACCGTTCGAGTCATCGCCGTATGAAGAAGCAATCACTACGGGAGGCTCGGATCACCGAGAAGTTGGAGAAACAGCAGCGCGATGCTCGCGAAACGAGAGAAAAGCGCAAGCAGTATGATCATCTCCAGGCTATCCTTACTCATGGTGCCGAGTTGCAGACTGCTGCTGCCCAACAGCGCACTCGTATGCAGAAACTGGGCCGTGCTATGCTTCAGCACCACCAGCACATGGAGCGTGAAGAACAGAGACGTGTGGAGCGTACCGCCAAGCAACGTCTCCAGGCTCTTAAGGCCAACGACGAGGAAACGTATCTCAAGCTGCTTGGACAGGCCAAGGATTCTCGTATCTCTCACCTTCTTAAGCAGACCGACAATTTCCTTAAGCAGCTTGCTGCCTCCGTTCGGGAGCAACAACGAAGTCTGGCCGAGCGCTATGGTGAAGAAGACCAGTTCTTTGAAGAAGATGAAGAAGAGGAGATTGCCTCCGGTAGCGAAGACGAAGGTGACGGAAAGAAGAAGATCGATTACTATGCCGTTGCGCATCGCATCAAGGAGGAGGTGACTATTCAACCTAGTATCCTTGTCGGTGGTACGCTTAAGGAGTACCAGATGAAGGGTCTGCAGTGGATGATTTCCCTGTACAACAACAACCTCAATGGTATTTTAGCTGATGAGATGGGTCTCGGAAAAACCATTCAGACCATCAGTTTAATCACTTATATTATTGAGAGGAAGAAGAACAATGGCCCCTTCCTCGTCATTGTCCCTCTCAGTACCCTTACCAACTGGAACCTTGAATTCGAGAAGTGGGCGCCGTCCGTTTCTCGTGTTGTCTACAAGGGACCTCCGAATGCCCGTAAGCAACAGCAGCAACAGATCCGTTGGGGCAACTTCCAGGTTCTGTTGACGACTTACGAGTACATCATCAAGGATCGTCCGATTCTGAGCAAGATCAAGTGGACTCACATGATTGTTGACGAAGGTCATCGTATGAAGAATACTCAGTCTAAGCTGAGCAGCACGCTTTCACAATACTACACCAGCCGTTACCGTCTCATTTTGACGGGTACACCCTTGCAAAACAACCTTCCTGAGCTGTGGGCACTGCTGAACTTCGTTTTGCCCAATATCTTCAAGTCTGTCAAGTCGTTTGATGAGTGGTTTAACACGCCCTTTGCCAACACAGGTGGACAGGATCGTATGGAACTGAGCGAAGAAGAACAACTGCTGGTGATTCGTCGTCTTCACAAGGTTCTGCGACCCTTCCTGCTGAGACGTCTGAAGAAGGATGTCGAGAAAGATCTTCCCGACAAGCAAGAGAGAGTCATCAAGTGCCGTTTCTCTGCATTGCAAGCCAAGCTGTACAGGCAGCTTGTTACGCATAACAAGATGGCCGTCAGCGATGGCAAGGGTGGTAAGACCGGTATGCGTGGTCTCAGCAACATGCTGATGCAGTTGCGAAAACTCTGTAACCATCCCTTCGTTTTTGAGCCGGTGGAAGATCAGATGAACCCTGGACGAGGAACCAATGATCTGATTTGGCGTACTGCTGGTAAATTCGAGCTTTTGGATCGGATTTTGCCCAAGTTCCGGGCTACTGGCCATCGCGTCCTGATGTTCTTCCAGATGACGCAGATCATGAACATTATGGAAGACTTCTTGCGTCTTCGTGGATTGAAGTATCTCCGTCTTGACGGGTCCACCAAGTCAGACGATCGATCCGATTTGTTGAAATTGTTCAACGCCCCGGACTCGGAGTACTTTTGCTTCCTGCTATCCACACGTGCGGGAGGTTTGGGTCTCAATCTTCAGTCCGCCGATACCGTCATCATTTTCGATTCTGATTGGAACCCTCACCAGGATTTGCAAGCACAGGATCGTGCGCATCGTATCGGCCAAAAGAATGAGGTTCGTATCTTGCGTCTGATCAGTTCCAACTCAGTGGAGGAGAAGATTTTGGAGCGTGCTCAGTTCAAGCTCGATATGGATGGCAAGGTCATCCAAGCAGGAAAGTTCGACAACAAGTCTACCAACGAGGAGCGTGACGCTTTGCTGCGGACGCTTCTGGAGACTGCCGAGGCTGCTGATCAGATTGGTGATCAGGAAGAAATGGATGATGATGATTTGAACGAAATTATGGCGCGGTCTGACGAGGAGTTGACTACGTTCCAGCGTATTGATAAAGAACGACAGAAGACCGTGCCGTACGGCTCTGGTCACAAGTACCCTCGTCTGATGTGCGAAGAAGAGTTGCCCGATATCTATCTTACGGAGGATAACCCGGTAACTGAGGAGGTCGATGTCGAGTTAGCTGGTCGTGGTGCTCGTGAACGCAAGATTACCCGGTATGATGATGGTCTTACTGAGGAACAATGGCTTATGGCTGTCGATGCGGATGATGACACGATCGAGGATGCTATTGCTCGGAAGGAGGCGAGGGTCGAGCGTCGTCGGGTTAACAAGGAGAAGCGTCAAAAGAAGACAGTGGGTGATTCTTCACCGGAACCTTCCCGCGAGAACTCCGAGACACCGCAGCCGAAGAAGCGTCGCAGAGGTCCCGCTCCGAAGCGCAAGGCTGAGGAGGTAGTGGAGGAAACGCCTCAGCCAAAGCGGAAGAGGGGAAGACAAGCCAAGCCGGTTGAGACGCTGTCGCCGGAGGATCGTGCCACCCTGCAGCGCATTGTCAACACCGTATACCAAGCGTTAATGGATATGGAGGCGGAGCTGCCGGCCGATTCGTCAGACAGTGAGGATGGCCCTGTTACGCGGTCCATCATTGAGCCATTCATGAAGCCACCGCCCAAGACGCACTATCCCGACTATTACATGGTCATTCAGAACCCGATCGCCATGGATATGATCAAGAAGAAGATCAACCGTGAGGAGTATCAGAGCCTGAAGGACTTCCGAAATGACATCCATCTCCTCTGCCAAAATGCCCGGACTTACAATGAGGATGGCAGCATCCTGTTCCAGGATGCCAATGACATCGAGGTGAGTAGACATCTGTAAGCAGTCGAGATTAAAGCAGCCACTAACAGTGCCTAGGCAAAATGTTTGGCGGAGCTCCAGAAGGAGACCGAAGGCTACCCACAGTTTGCCAACTACGATGACCTGGGTGGACAAGGCGGAAATGACCAGTCGACTGCTGCAGCATCGGGGGCCGAAACACCTTCAGCGGTTGCCACGCCAAAGCTGAAGCTCACGTTCAATAGCGGCAACCGAGATAATGCTGCGGCTGCAGGAGCCGGCAATGGCGTCAGCGAGACTGATTGACATTGCTAATAGACGTTGGTGAAGACATAGTGGCTGTTATTTCTTGACATGGTTTAACGTGTTGCAAAAACTTCGAATACCTGCACATTACATTCTATGCTGTTTTGATCTGTCTTTGATATGCCCCCCATTTTTTTCCTACCGACTTTTGCTCTGTGGATGGCGTTCCTGTGACCTTTTGGTGGCTGGGGATGGACGATGGTTGATGGCGCACTGCTCTATTCGATTTGAAGACGAGCGATTTCTCCTTTTACACTTCTCTCCCCGGGATCCTCTTCGAATTTTCTATTACTACACATGTTTTTTTCCTTCCTCTCTCTTTTACCATTTTCCTCATTTGAGTGCCGACGATGTCTAGACCGGGCAGGTCGTGGATCTCTCACTGTCACTTCGGGCTCGGCTGGGAGGGTTCTGCCTGCCAGGGGGGGAGTCTCGCTTTTGAAGATGACATTGGTTGTAATTGGATCTTCAACTATGTGATTTATTAGCGACGGTCAATGTAGCCCTACGTAATGTACCATGTTTGATGTTGGAGTGTGCAAAATTATGCCGGGTGGATATTCTATAGCTACGAGGGTAGACAGATTGATTGTGAGATACCGACAAAGAGAATACTATCATTGTACACTTGTCATTGTGTATTCCAGAGCAGCTGGGGTTTAGATACATTGGTCAGCTTTGTGCTTTGTAGCTCGGTCGCAAGATGCCCATACACCAGTAGAAGCTCACTCACACCGTAAGAATTAGCTTGGCAACAAGCTACATGTTTCAATGGAAAACACATATTTTTACCATAGTTCTTCGCGTTTCAGCCTGTTTCCAGAAGGGAAGTGAAAAGCAAAGCGTGGTTCGCTAACTCATTAGCTGAATACCTCTCTGCCTATCAGGTTCACAGGCTTATGGATGGTGGGATAGAATGTACTATGGATAGAATGGAAACTAATTCCGCGCACACACAAACACAAACATAAACACGATAATCCACTTCTCTTTCCATCAGATCTGTTGTCTAGAATATTTCTAGAAAATCATAACACCTTCTATTGATATTCTACTTACCTAAGTGATTCTCTCTTTTAGAGAATTTCCACACCTACAGAAAGTAGATAGATAGATAGATAGATAGTTGCATTCCGACCTGTGTGGGAATGGATTGTTTTGTTGGATGCACTGCAGATCTTGTTACGTATCAAACAACCCACTGGTCAATCCAGTCTGAAGTCTGGTAGGCGATCGGGATTCGTTCGATCTTTGGATGGGGACGGGAATGGATCTTCTCTCTTTCTCCCGGGTTGATTTCTCTATGTCTCTCTCTAAACTATGTATAGAAGGTGGGCTTTATTACTGGGGAGGGGAAAGAGGTTCGATTATTGGTTGATGGGGATGGATGCAGATGCAGAATTCATGTACCTACTTCCTTAGTTACTACTACGTACTAGGTTCAAGCAGGCCCTAAATTTTGTCCTGGTCGGAAAATAGATACTCTTCTCTATCTACTACCTCCTACTTATAAGATACTTTTTGGTGGTTAGAGTGTGTCTCTACTATGATTCAACATCGGGATAGTGTGCTGACACATATGTTGGGAAATAAAACAGTAGATATAAGTACTATGTATAGCCATATCAGAGTCGTCCAATAACTAATATTAATCAATAACTCACTATTTAATGTGAGGGATAAATCCAGCCCCGGTGGAGCCCCAAAGCAGAAAAAAAAAACGCGCTGCACAGAAAGGAAAAAAAGCCCTGCCGTCGGGCCCGGACGAGACCCCCCGTAACATACACTACTATACTATTACTAGTAGTACATCGCTGATACCGAGTGTATCAATCGAATTGTCTGGAAAGTCATTCCCTCCAGAACTCATACATACCCTGTATAGTAGAAAAAAAAGGGTAAAATCATAAGAAATCAAGCACACGACCAACATCCCCATCTGATCCACCCTGTGATGATTAACTCTCATCTGCTACTATTCCGGTCAAACAGATTGCCCTGCTGGGACGTCATCTGGGGACAATCAAATGGCCAGCCCTCGACGTCATGAGCCCATCACGTGACCCCACCGTCATCCCGGCTGGCGGTTCCGTAACCGCCAGCTCGTCCTTTCGAATCTCACCTGCTCGTTCGTCCTCCTCTTCTCCCTCTGCCGCGCCCTGATAACGACCGAATCCGACTTTCGCTGTCCCTTTCTCAAGAGTTTACGAAGCAAGATCTTTCATTCTTCCCTTAGTACAGCTTCTGCTATCTTCATTTCCCCTCCAAAATGGCCTCTTTCCAGGATCGTGCTCAGCACGCCATTGCCCAGCTCGACAAGGAGGTAAGTCGTGTGTGCGTTTTCTGGTTTTGTGTCCTATTCCTCCCTGTCAAACCCCCAATCGGTCTGCGATGAGGTTTCTTCCTGTCGGCATTGTATCAGCCTGTTCTCTTCCTGTCTTACAATGTTTATTTGTCGCGGATTGAAAATCTTCGCAGCTGGGGGATGGGGATGAAGAAGTCGTGTTGTTGTTCTCCGATTTCTGCCTACTTCCCATATTCCTCAGCCGCCGCCAGTTTCGAAGCTAAAACTAACCATCTCCTCTTCACACTTTAGCTCTCCAAGTACCCTGTCCTCAACAACTTGGAGCGTCAGACCTCCGTCCCCAAGGTCTACGTGATCCTTGGCCTCGTCGGCATCTACTTCTTCCTGGTCTTCTTCAACATCGCCGGTGAATTCCTCGTCAACCTCGCTGGTTTCCTCATCCCTGGATACTACTCCCTGAACGCTCTGTTCACCGCCGGAAAGGCCGATGACACACAGGTATGCTCTATCTCTTTATTCCCTACTATTTTTTTTTCGAAGATGAAAATGTGCTGATGATCGTGCTCCTGCGTTTAGTGGTTGACGGTATGTTACTCGTGATCCCTCCGTTATCTCGACATAACTCGGGTGTTTCATATGCCTAGGTTATCTCTCTGCACGTGACAACGTGCATTCGTCAGCTAGCGGTTATACTGATCAGCATGTGATTCTTCTAGTACTGGGTTGTTTACGCTTTCTTCACCGTCGTTGAGAGCGCCATCTCTGCTCCCTACTGGTTCCGTAAGTATTCGCAATGCTTGATATGATTTCTGGCAGTGGAACGTCCGTGAACTGATCGCGACTCTTCAATACAGCCTTCTACTACATCTTCAAGTTCGCCCTTGTCCTCTGGATGTCTCTCCCCCAGACCAAGTAAGCTTTCCACCACCCACAATTTTGCACTCACCGAGAACAACCCGACTGACCCTCTTCTCCAGCGGTGCTCAAATTGTCTTCCACTCCTTCATCCAGCCCGTGCTCGGCCGCTTCTTCCAGGGCGGTTCCACCTCGGCCAACCTCCGCGCCCAGGCCGAGGCTGCCGCCAAGGACCAGTAAATAGCTAAACCGTGAAGTCCGGGGTGAATCTGTGACTTGATTTCGGTCAACTCACAGAGTCAATCTTGTCTCGGTTTATGTTTTGGGGGAAATTTTGCAAAACAAAGGCAATACGAAAGACTTCCTTCCGGGGTAGTCTTGCAATGCCGATATGTTTGGAAAAATATTCGATGTAACTGGATGAAGCGGTGTGATGGATGGATTGATTCATTGATTGATACGATACGATACTTTGAGCCTTGTCAGGCGAGAATTGGGCTATCCTTGTGTGTGTGTGGTTGCTTTTTTCATGCTGTTCCATTTTGTTGCCATGACTTGAATCTAAGTAGAATTGCGTGTTGAATCTTTTTTGCGTTGGTTGGTTGGTTTGGAAAGGGAGAGGACACCCACCGTGCTTTCTCTGCCTCCATAGCTGTGTGGTATTATTATCATTATTATAGCTATACTTTGATGCATTATGCCTCCGTTTCTTGGTAAAATTGAGTATTTGTCAATAACTTGGATTTGACTTGACTTGACCCTCCTGGTCATCATTCATCCATTCAATCAATCAATCAATCCCTTTCCTGATCTCCTCTCTTCTCTGTCGAAGGGAAACGGGAGATGTAAGTGGAGGATATGAGGGGGGTATAAGAAACATTTCATCCTCGGGATCGAAATCTGAAGGAGACGGACACCGTGTTGAAAAGGGGCAAAGAAAGCGGGTAAAATACACTTGCAAGAGAATTAAAGCTGGTTATTGCTGTTATGGTTGTGGGAGCCACCGACGCCGGAATGGAAATCAATGGACCAGGGTGGCGGCGGGCTACATACATAGGTAGCATTCCATACAAAACCCAGACGTGCCCTGCCGCGCCAGCCCTGCCCTGCGCATCGTTTTCATGTATATCATCGCAATATTCGCGTCCAGGTAACCGTAGCCTGGGCACATGTTTTGTGTGTGAGTGTGAGAGAGGGTGTGATTGGGAGAGGTAGAAGCAGTAGAGGGGTAGGTAGGTAGGCTGCATCAGTATAACCCGAACCGATTCTGCCAACCATCCGATCTGGGGTTCAGAACCACGCGATAAGGAAATGGATTCGAATCGCTCGTAGTGATCGGGGGAATGTGCTCCTTATCGCGGCTAACCACGGCTAAAATCTTCAGGACGGCTTTCTGTAGCATATTCTCCATGGCTTTGCGCACTTTGGCGCGTTCTAGACCCGGCAATCACATGTCAGTACAGGAGGGAGAGAGGTAATAGCTTGGCGGATGGGTGTTGAGTGTGGGGGTTTGGGTGGCGTCCATACCAGACTCTGTTCGAGGAGTGGCTATCGTCACATCCAAATTCCACACTTCCCAGCATACTTCTTCCTCGCCCTTCCCTGATAGTCCGCCAAACCAGATTCCCGGTCGTCGACGCCGCTTTTCGTAGAATTCCACAGCCATTCGGGCCCGGACACCCCCGCCACCGCCGCCATCGGGGGCGCTGGCTGCTGAGGAGTGCTGACGGACAAGGGAACTCACGCGAGAGTCGATGAGGGTTTCGAGGTCTACGTCGTTGATGGCGGGGAGGGTGAAGTCGAGGACGTCGAAGGTGATGGGGCGGATGGAGGGGAAGTATCGGTGGAAGAAGATGGTGTTGAGGATACCTGGTTGTGGAGAGGGGATGTTTAGTATTTGGGTAATGTACTTGTATAGAGAAAGATTCAGCGAAGAGGATAGAAGAACTGATTCACCTTTTAACACGTCGCGGACGTTGGTTGTATCTGCGAAGATCTCCAGAAAGTACTCCGGGGGCGTTTTGCGGGGCTCCATCTTGATGGGGATAGCGACCGGTGCCACCCTATGTATGTGTAGAGAAATTAACTGAACTCAGCGATCGACAGGCAACAAGTCACTGTCCAGTTAAGTCAGGGCTGAGCTGTCCAGCGGGGAAGAGGTTCCGAAGTGTTTAGTCGAAGGATGGATCAGATCGGAGTCTGGGGTTGAAGGGGTGGGAACCGGTGATGACGATGACGCTGGCGTTCGGGGGAGGGGGACAGAGCGGGATTGATTGACTAGGACCGGTGTGGAGAGGTTGACATGGAGAACGGGTTATGAGGGAGGCATGATCTGCTAGGGATACAATCCATAGGTATTTTATGATTGTGAAGGTGAGAGGGGTGCTATATATGGAGGAGAAAGAGAGAGAAGATAAAGAAAGAAAGAGAGATAGAGAAGAAGATGATGATGAAGGGAAGAATAATGGGGAGTCATGGCGTGTATGTAATGATGGGGTGCCCCTCGCCTGTGACGGTATGATGGCTGTTCTCCTTATCCCTTATCAGCCCTGATAGGGGGCATCCGCACCCGTATCGTCTGGTATTGGCGGTACCTGGCCAGCACTGGCCTGGCTGCCTAAGGTTGGTTCGCATTTATGGTTGGACAGAATCAGGCCGAGATGCAAATGAAAAGAGCAGAAACACCGTGACTTATAACGATGATGCAACTAATTGCGGGGATGAAGTGGCACAAACTATTGCCATTTGGCCTTCTCAACAACTAGCTCACACTCGTTCCTTTCTGGCTACTACTAATTTACAGACCACCATATACCCTCGCATCCGCCATAGCCTGACCCGCTGGTGACGATCATACGTGTTGCTGGCTGCTCTTTAGCCGAGGCCGCTTCAGGGACCCTCGATCCCCGACCGTGCTTCCCGTCGCTCTTCCATCACTCACGCCGTCTCTTCGGCTTTCCTTGTGATTCCCAACTTCCATTATTCCTTTTCTTTCTTTCCTATTTCACTTCATACGATGAACTGTTTTGCTCCCTATTTCTGAGAAACTGTTCCCGATCCTATTTGCTCCATAATGATCAGTGCCACTAAGCGCTGGTTCCGGCGCAATCGCAAGGGCCTTGCGATCGGAGCTGGCGTGATCGGAGCGGGCTATCTCGCAGGCCAGTACCTGCTGTCCAAGATCTCAGAGGCGCGCGAGCGCATGAGTAGTGACCGCATTGCTCGGGAGAAGTAAGTGATGAGCCTCCCTTACCTCCTCTAATCTCATCGAGGTGACCTGCTCGCGTGCTCGGAAACGGTAACTGACGGCTATTGCCTCTTGTCCAGCTTGCGGCGACGCTTCGAACAAAACCAGACCGACTGTACCTATACTGTGCTAGCCCTACTACCGACGGCGGCGGAGGATATTCTCGAGGCACTTCCCGTGGAGGAATTGACCAAGGAGCTCCAGAAGAAGCGTGCAGAACGACTGGCTCGTCTTAACGCTGGGGAAGGAACAGGCTCGGAACTAAGCTCGGTGGGCCCCAGTATAACGGAGGATGATCGGCGTAGCTTGTCTAGCTTCCAAAGCGATGGCTTTGTCCGTACGAGTCAATTAGGGGAGTCGACCATTGAGGGGGGCGGATCACCACGCCCGAAGCGAAACAAGACCCAGCTGTGGAACGAGGTCAAGATAACCTGTGAGTATCTCGTATCGTCGTTTCTTTACAGGAACCAAGGAGTCTAACAGACCATCAAAGCTATCACCAGGTCGTTTACGCTCATCTATACCCTGACCTTGCTCACCATCTTCACTCGAATCCAACTTAACCTGCTTGGCCGACGCAACTACCTGTCCAGCGTGATCTCCATGGCCACCACCCCTGCGGATGGTTCAACTATTCGACTTGAGGATCATGATGATGACGACCTCACGCAAACACTGGGACATGACTTTGAGACAAATCGGAGATACCTTGCCTTCAGTTGGTGGCTGCTACACCGAGGCTGGAAGCAGTTGATGGAGGAGGTGCAGGCCGCCGTAACGGAGGTGTTTGGACCTTTGAATCCCCGGGAGGACATCTCGCTGAGCAAGCTGTCGGACTTGATTCTGCAAGTCCGTGGGAAGATAGAGGGCAAGACCGAGGAGGACAGGAAGTACGTTTTCTATGAGCAAGTCTCACTGGCCGGATGCTGACCCATTTTTCTTCTAACAGGCATCGGAAGTGGTTGTCTTATGTGCTCCCCTCGCGAGAAGAGGAGGACCATCTGTTGCAGGAGTCCGGGGTTCTTGGAGTGACGGAACCCGCGACACCTCAGACGACAGCGTCGCTGCGCCATCTCCTGGACGAGACGGCCGATCTGATCGACTCTCCGACATTCATTCGTGTTATGTTACTTCTCAACAACGAATGCTTCCAGACTCTTATTGATCAATGCAAGGCCGATGCGTTCAAATCGTCCGCTCAAGTGCCCACGTCTGTTCCTCAGTCCTTCGACTCGGTCGCCACGGTCGTCCCCGCGGCTGACGGCTCCGACACGAAAACGAAGCTGGCAAATGTGCTGGCCGTTCTGGCTCGACAAGCCCATGTGATCGGAAATGGAACAGCTCCTCCAAACCTATATCTGACTTCCATTGAACAGGGGGTACGAGAACTGGAGGCCTTTGCGGCTGTTATATACAGCTCCAACTTTGACTCGGAGCTGCTCGGGACCGATTCAAGGACGCAGCCATCGGGAGTAGAGGCGGGCTTTGATGTTCCTACATCACCTGCCCCAGAGATGATTGAGAAGGAGGATGCCAACGAAGAAGGACCTACCCCAGGAGCATCAGTCGTAGCAGTGGACGATGACTCGGCATTTGAGAAGGCATGGGGAAAGGCTGTAGATGAACAACCGTCGAGCTAATGATCGTGTGATCGTGTGTGGGCTTTCTAGAGAATGTTGGAGAATTTCGGGAATATCTGTGGCATACATGGTCCCTCATCTATCCGGAGTCTCATCTCGGCGCGGACTGGGAGAGATATGGTACGATTGTATGATAGCTCGTGGTGGCGAGTATTTATTATTTATGACAAGCTAGCTTATATGGGTCATGGGTGTTCTAGAACCATTACCGGAAGGACGGGCATATTGCTAGACTGAAAGTTGAAAGTATCATCGTACGCGTCCTCTCAAATGATCCTCAGGATGTTGGGGGACGTGGGACGAATGAAGGGCAGCACGTGGCTGGCCAGTGCCACGCATGGACCCAAATGATCAGACATGACACTCTTGTCCCGAGCAGCTTCGGAGACTTCTATTTGCGCACTTATGCAGGTTGTGAGACTGGATACGGCATCTGTGCCACCCGGTCCATATCTTCTTGCTCTCTCATTGGACCTCCATTGTGCATTTGGCTTTAGTATGTTGCAACCTATGAATTTTGTAGTGGCCCGAAAGCAGGAAATTTCGACAGCGCGCAGATACTTTGTTGTCGTTGCGATCTGTATAACCCTCCATTTTATGATGCCTGAAGCTTAGGGAACGAACTGCTCGAGAACTGCCGATTGTGGGGTAGATAAGCTTAGCGAAGGAAGGGATCTGCGGGGAAAAAGGTGGGTTTGGCACGGCTACTATCTACTAATCTTCTACTAGTCGGCCATGGCTGGACTATTGCTTAAAAATACCTACTCTCTACTACTGCTTACTCTCTGCTCCTTCTAGACTAGGTCTGTGATTCCCGGGACAGGGAATGTGCAGACTGGATGGAGCTTACAGCCGGCATCTTCTCCTCCATTCCTCCTAAACTTTCTCCCCCTCGGCATGTTACATCCGTCCAAACTGGCATCATCTTTGGTTCCAACCCAGATAAAGCCATCATCATGGCCTCAGAGTATACAGATAGGACGGCCGGATGAAACCTTCGAGTGGCATAGTCGGGAGGCACCATGGATCGGACAATCATGCTAAGCAATGCCCAGCCTGTCAGGCTATCTGACCTGCGGATTAGGCCGAAATGGGTAGGATGTATCCGACCCGTCTCATTCCCTCGCTAATGTAAGGCCTCCCGAGTCAATGAGTTAATTGGTCCTCCTCCACTGCCGTGTTCATCACAGCGGCCTGTATAGGCGATTGGTTAGCCTAGATGGTTCGTCAGCCGCCATCAAAGCAGTCCGTATTCACTATCAATCTGGTCTAGCACCCCTGCTTGCCCCTCTTGTGCGGTGTCTTTTCTTCTTCTCCCTGCTCCCCTCTGCGTGGCCAATTGTCGTGGTCCTCTCCTTGAAATAGTGTCTCTGCACCTTATCTTGTCTGTTTACGCGCTCTCCGTGACATACATCCCTTGCTTCTCCATTATTGTTGTTGCACCTTATATCTGTCGAGAGTACACCCTTGTCAACTGGAGTAATTCCGTCACAACATTTCTATCCATCGTGTCGCAATCTAGCGCAGAGACACAGAAGCAGACAACCGTATCCATATTTCCACCCACCAGTCACAATGGGGTCATCCGAAGGTACAGTTCATATGTTCGAGGTCTCACGAAGACTATAGTGACCTCAGGTGTCATAAACAGAGTCAATAGATCGGTCTCCTCAGCCCGAACCCGGATTGAAACCAGAGGGCCACATTGAAGCGCTCACATCAGATCTTCCTCCTCTCACCACAACCACGGAGCGCAGGCTCATGGCCAAGATTGACTGGCACATCGTCCCGTGTCTCTGCGTCTTGTATCTGCTTGCTTTCCTGGATCGGTATGTGCCTCCTGCTTTGGTAATTGGATGTAGTTTTCATAACAGTTTGTGCCTGGTACAGTGTCAATATCAGCAATGCGGCCGTACTCGGGCTCGAAACGGATCTCAACATTGCTACGGGAACGAAGTACAATACCGCACTCACTATATTCTTCGTGCCCTACGTTATATTCGAGATTCCATCCAATATCTTGCTGAAAAAGTGGAAACCTCATGTATGGTGTATGTATCCTACGACTATGAGGACCGTTGTGCACTGCTTATAGGGTTGCTGATGATGACAGTGTCTTTTTGTATGTTCGGGTTCGGCCTCGTCATGATATGTCAGGGTCTGGTCTCAAATTGGGGTGGACTTATGACTACACGCTGGTTCCTGGGTATGAAGGAAATCGATTTCACCGACATATAACTAATAGAGATGCAGGCATGTTTGAAACGGGCATGTTCCCCGGATGTGAGTGTCTCTTTCCCAGCTTGAAGGACCTTTCGCTAACAGAGTGCCTCCAAGGCTTCTATCTTCTGGGCATGTGGTATAAGCGCAGTGAGGCACAGAAGCGCTTTAGTTTCTTCTTCAGCTCAACCACATTGGCGGGCGCCTTCGGCGGCCTGCTTGCCAGTGGTCTAGGGAAGATGGCCGGACTCCGAGGCTACGGGGGCTGGCGGTGGGTTTTCATCATCGAGGGTGTTATCACTTGCGTGGTTGCCATTGTCTGGTTCTTTATAATACCGGGGTTCCCAGAGGATGTCAAGTGGCTTAATGAGGAAGAGCGGGCGTACATTCGGGCTAAGCTGGCTCGTGATGCAGGGAAAGCTGGGCACAATGCTCGTATGGGTTGGCGCGATGTGTTAGCTGTGTTCAAGGACTGTAAGTACATGCGAGGTCCAGAAGGCGCCACTACATTCCTGCATATGCTGACTATCATATAGACAAGATCTTCCTTGGCGGGTTTATGTACTTCGGGCAGGTTGTCACAGCATATGGTAAGTTTGATTTCCGTTTTCAATCCGTGAATATCAGGAAAGTAGTATATGTTAACAAGCTCAGGATATGCTTTCTTCGCCCCGACTATTATCAAGACCTATGGCTACGGAAGTATGTATATGTTACCACTGAATGCGCTGTATACTGAGCTTTTGTACCAGCCATCCAAACCCAACTGTACTCGATTCCACCATGGGCAGCTGCATTCGCATTCTCGATGGTAATCGCAACGTTTTCGGATCTAACCAGACATCGGCTGGCTTTCACTTTGATCCCTACAGCAATTGCTATGGCTGGATTTGGAATACTATTGAACGTACACGGAGAGGCTCATCGACACGTCCAATACGGCGCGCTCTTCATGGTGACCTGTGGCTGCTATAGTGCGATGCCGGTTATTGTATGTTGGTTTGCTATGAACCTAGGAGGTCATCGTAGGCGCAGCGTGGGCACGGCATGGCAGGTTGGGTTCGGGAACAGTAAGTGACGTCGACACAAAAGCATAAATAGATGACGCTGCTGACATGGGTTATCTACCAGCGGGAGGTATCATCTCCACATATGCATTCCTAGCCAAAGATGCGCCTGAGTATCGCAATGGCTACATTATTAGTCTGTCCTTCATCTGCTTCTCCGCGGCCTGCTGCATTGGATACTTTGTGGCTCTCTGGGCGGAGAACAAGCGACGAGACCGGGTCATGGCCAATGGCGCCCCCGCGGAGCTGCGAGAAGATGAAGAAGAGGTCCAGGGAGATCTGGCGGTGACCTACCGCTACGGCTATTAAGCAATTTTCCCAATGCAGCTGGAGGATCCTATCTTTAATTCTAGCGGACATCTACATTCTACATAGAGCACGATGTTATTCATAGTTATACCGTAGTAGATAGGGCTAGCTAGGGCTGTCCTTGATAAGACACACGAACAGGTGAAACGAGAATATGGAATCTAAATGCCATTGAACGCATCATAACAACTGAGTCTTTTTTTCTCAATAATAATGGGTTCCCACCGCATGCCACGGTACTGAAGGTACACGCACCGGGAGGGTTGATGTCACGGGCAAGGCCTAAAGCGGTAATGCCAGTCTCGGTAAAGCAGTGGATGACAATCAGCGAGCCAATCAGCGCCGGCGCAACACTAGCGAGCCCTTAGCGGCATTGCATGCTGAGTCAGCCACGGCGCACACAAGAAGCTCAACCGCGGCCGCTCTCCATCATTCTTGCAACCATCTCTTCATCCTCGCAGAAGTGTGAGTACCCCCTCCCAGCCTGCACTGGTTGCAGTGCTTCGTCGTCCAACGGCCAACAGTGACTGACTGACTGGTATCAGTTTCGAATTCTCTTCGAAGATGAGAGCCAAGTGGAGAAAGAAGCGCGTCCGTCGCCTCAAGCGCAAGAGAAGAAAGATGAGAGCTAGATCGTGAGTGCTATCCAAAGCAATGAGCAAAACAAATCAAACCGACAATCGACTAACCAATTCCGCAGCAAATAAATTACTCGCCCACTCCATCTCAGCTCTTCATGTGAACGCTCAGGTTGAACGCTAAACATGACAATTGCGACGACGTCACGATGATGATTCCAGTTATGATCGTTACGTGGTTCGGTATCTCAATCGAGGCCTGTCTGGTCTGCCACAACATTCTCGATGCAATCGACTTCGGAGCCCGCCGTTTCATCTACACATCCAATCCCTCGGGCTCGTTATAACGTTTTCGATCTTGTCGTGATTTCCTTTTGATCCAGACAGTGGGGGTGCGAGTGCCGCATCTTTTCCTTCGGAGGTACGAATGTGTTTGGTGGGGTTGGAAGGCATGGTGGAAGAGTCAAATGGTCTTTCTGTATTCCTGTACTATCTTACTCTTTGCCATTGCCGATGAGCTTTGCGTGGGGACTGGTCAATTTCTCGTGTCCTGGGTTCTGTTGGGGAAATCCGATGGAATTCCGGGCCATGGAGAGGTCATGAGAATTTATTCCAAATACCAAAAAGTTTACGACGCACATGATGTTCCTTGTAAATTATAAACCACTGTAGCATGATCTTGTAGAAAACTAGAACTCGATATCCAAATGATCAATCGGACTATAATGATAGGGCCCAATTGAGCTAAGAAGATTGTGTGCGCATGAAGGCTACCTGCCCGCCTGGAGTCTTCTCCGCCTTCCGCTCACAGCCCGCCTGACCGCCTTCAACTTTTTTTCGTGGAATTTTCCCTCCACCTGCCCGATAATCTCCCTACCAGTCAATTCTCTCTCCGCGGCGTCGCATTTCCCTTCAATTCCTTATCCAGACATAATGCCGTCCAATAAGGTCGAAAAGAAGCGCAAGCGCGCCTCCGATCGCCATGAAAGGCCCAGCAAGAAGCCCGCGCTCGAGCTGCAAGATCTGCCTCCGCTGGCCTCCAGCGTCGTGGAGGATGATAGCGAACTAGCTCCGGTGATCAGTATGCTGCACCTTTTTTACACATTGCCTTTCTGCCCTCATGGCACTGCAATATGGTATGGGAATAATCTAATATAATGCACTTCAGTCACTACTCCCGGTCTCAACGCTCCGCGCAATCTCCGCCTCAACCCATACCTCAAGACCCGCAGTAAAACCTCCTCCTCCTCGTCCCGGAACAAGGGCATCGTCTCGTCCGAATTGCTGCTTCAGTCCTCCGAGCACCCCAAGCTGGACTTTGTGGGTCGCGAGGCTGAGGAGGATGCCGACTCCCAGCTCAAGCACTACGTCGCGGTCGTGGACCCGGAGAACAAAACCTGGCAGTTCATCGAAGTGCGGAAGATGACCCTGCGTGGCGCCGTTCGCAAGATGAGAGCGATTGACGAAGAGTCAGAGGAGGAGAGCGAAGACGAAGAAATGGTTCGCTCAAACCTGTTCTCCATGGTGTTCACCGGACATTGGCTGACCATCCAACCCTTAATAGAAAACCATGCGCGCTCAAAGAACAGAACTCACCAACACCTTCGGTACCAAACAATCTCGCAAGGCCGCTCAGTCGCTCGCCGAAAACGCTCAGCTCTCCAACGTGCCCTCAGGCGCTGCCTCCGCCGCCGAAACCGCCATCCTGGGCGCCATGCCCGCCGACGCAGCCACAGATATCGCCTCCAAGAATGCCGCCCTGCAAGCGCAGGTTCAAGCCGCGAAGCCTCTGCCCCAGGCCAACCTGGACGCTGCACACCCGTCAGATGTCTACCCACTTGACGTCCTCGTCCCCAACGGTCTGGCCACCCTGCGCCAACTCCCCAACGTCAAAGAATGGCAAGACAGCGTTAACTCCGGCGCCGCCGTCAACACCACCTCGCGGTACGTCTCCCGCCGCGTCGAAGCCGTCGCCCTCTCCGGCAACACCACCCACCTCCAGATTCTCCGCTTCATCCTCCTCCTCCTGGAACTCGCCCGCGGTCTGCGTCCCGGCCGCGACAAGTCCGCCGGCCCCGGCAGCAAGCGTCTCCCTCCCCGCGAAGACCTCCGCCGCATCCTCTCCGGTGGAACAATCAGCGAGAACTCCGCCAGCGGCGACCAGATCGCGGACCCCGTCATTGACGCCGTACGCCGCAAATTTGCACCCCAGGGTGCCTCCCTCTCCAAGAACGACATCACCTTCCTTCACACGACCATCTGCGCCCTCTCGCTGCACATCCCGCCCCAACCTTCCAAGGACGGTGGTAATAGCTCCGCCGGTGGAAACGCCCCCAACGAGCTGGCTACCGATCCCTCGGATCTCCGTGATGACCTGCGCCTCGATAACGTGGCCATCACGCAGTATTTCCGCGAGTTGGGCTGCCGCGTCGACAAGCCCCGCGAGTCGGAGTTTGCTAAGTGGGGTATTAAGGGTGGTAAGGCTGAGGCTGCGGCTAGACGGGTTGCTAGGTTGAAGATTCCCGTTGAGTTCCCGAAGGTTAGTCGTGGTGGTGGACGGAGGTAGTGGATTTGATGGGGAGGGTTTGTTTGGGTGTGATAGATTGATTGTTTGATTGTAAGTTAGCATTATTTTCTCTGTATGTATGGATGGATTGGCAAAAGAACGTCGTTTTTCTACTTTCACTTTCTTCAGCTGAACCACTTTGGTTTGTAAACTTGCATTAGTATGTAGTTCACTTGTAGATCGATAGTTACTTCACCTCGGTGTCTCCTAGTTGATATGACTGGTAGTAACTGATACCTCAGAGAATCAATCGTCACTCAGTAAATATAAAATACTAGATACCAGAGTTGCGATACCATACACTGAATGGTACTACTACTTTAGTATATAAAAACTACATATCCTCGCAAGGATGATCCAAAACTACCAACCAACTCCACCCACTCGGGGAAAAAAAGAAAAAAAAAAAAAAAAAAAAAAGTAGTAGTCACGAGGTTTGTGATCAAATAAAATATGAAGAATTACAACTAGTACTACGCCTAGCAATAAGTAAATAAGTACCCTTCAATAGTGAGTAGCCCTCTGCAAACCAGAAAGTATACTATATACCAACTGCCAGTATTCATTATGTGTGAATACATCTATCTACACTACTTACTTAGTACTTACTTATCCAAGCCATAATTTATTTATTCAAGGTTACTTAGTGTCACTAATATTTATTTCCAAACTTGTTCCTTTGTCTTCGTACATTAGTACCTAGTACTTACTACTAGACGTGACGTAATACTATATATCTTTATTATTACACTAGTAATTGAACAATTTGAAGTAGTACTTTATATGATATTCTTGCTGAAGTAGATATGATATCATCGAGTATGGATGATGATGATGATGACATGAACTCCAACCCGAATTAAGTATGTGTTCTGAACTTAGTAGTAGCCTTATTCAGTTCTCATCTCACCATGAAACTACTAGCTAGCTGGTCGGTCAATTGTAGTGCTAATTTTTACAGGAAGCTCCATACCACATCCTTAGAGATGACAAAATTCACAAGGTATGTTATTTGTAGGGAGACTACTCTCAAAAATTGGTTGTAGTCTCAAATGGATAAATCAAAGAGAAGCATATTTCCTTATAATGTGGGCCATCCGTAGTAAGGCTTTTGCAGGAAGCTCCATACCATCAATTGTAGCTGGCCAAGACTTTAAGGTACATTATTAAGTTATAGGAAGACTGTATGACATCGAGGGCCGTGCTGGTTGGTAACTAGTAGGTACAGTGATAGCTCTGACATCGAACATTCTCTTCCAACTTTGGTATAGTTGTCTACGATGGGAGAAGACATGGTACATACTACATCTACGATATACTAGGAAGATTGTTGCAGCATAATGAGGAATAGACATGATCATTCGATCTAGAACCCAAAATCATCGGTAACGACTGGCCGGTTCCATATGTCTTTATCCACCTTCATATTTCATATTATAGTAGGCAAATGTCCAGAGTCTGGTCATATGATCATGCTGGGGTTTAATCCGCCAGCAGAGGGAGAATAGTAATAATAACGATCAACTGTGCTGGATGCGGTAACATCCAGACCACCACCTTATTAGCCTAAACCGGATAGGCTTAAGCGGCAGCCACTCCCACGGGGATCGAGGCAGCGGTGGCAGCGGCAGGGCGCACCGGAGTGGCGGTCTGCATGCGGGAAGCGGCCTGGGAGAGCGCCTCGGCAGCGGCAGTCTGGAACTCCCGCGTCACGGCAGCTTCGACGGTCTCGCTAGGCTGCAGGCCCAGCTGCGCGTCCTCCCAGATGGGCTGGTTGGCGGCCTCGGCACCCTCGACGCCCACGCCAACGAAGCCACCTTGGGCCTCCCAGTCACTGGCGCGCTTGATGCCCAGGTCGTTCCAGACGGTCTGCAGAGCCTGCACCAGATGGTCGCGGTGCTCCTTGACGTGGCCGGGGGTGGGGGTGATGCGAAGACGCTCTTCGCCACGAGGCACGGTGGGGTAGTTGATGGCCTGCACGTAAATACCGTGCTCCTCGAGCAGCTTGTCCGAGGCCTGCTTGGCCACCTCGGCATCACCAACGAGAAGAGGGATGATGTGAGACGGGTTCGGGATCACCGGGATGTCCAGCTCCTTGAGTGATTCCTTAACTGCGCGGGTGTGCAACTGCTGCAGGACGCGGTCGCGCTGGTGCTGCGCCTGGTATTTGATGGCGGTGTCTGCTCCAGCCATAGTAGCCGGGGGCAGGGAGGTTGTGAAGATGAAGCCGGGGGCGAGAGAGCGGATGGTGTCCACCATGGCCGCTGATCCGGCAATGTAGCCACCAACGCAACCATACGCCTTGCCGAGGGTACCGGTGATGATGTCGATACGGTCCATGACGGTTCCCTTGGTATCACGAGGGTTGGCCGTATCCTGAGAAGCGTAGATGTCGTAGTCGAGGTGCTCAGCCACTCCCGCACCGTGAGGTCCGTACATACCCACGGCATGAACTTCGTCGAGGAAGGTGATGGCACCGTACTTGTCGGCCAGATCACAGATCTGTTCGATCGGGGCAATGGAGCCGCACATACTGTAGACGGACTCGAATGCGATAATCTTGGGAACGTTCAAAGGAAGAGATGCAAGTTTGGTTTCCAGATCGACCAAGTCGTTGTGCTTGAAAACCATCTTCTTGGCTCCAGAGTGACGGATACCCTGGATCATGGAGGCGTGGTTGAGGCTGTCGGACAAGATGACACAGTCGGGCATCTTACTGCCCAGAGTCGCCAGAGTCGCATCGTTGGCCACAAAGCAGGAGCTGAAGACCAGCGCAGCCTCTTTGTTGTGGAGTTTGGCCAAAGTGCCTTCGAGAGCGACGGCGTGCTGGTTGTGACCGGAAATGTTGCGAGTACCTCCGGCACCGGCTCCGTAGTTGTCCAAGGTCTGGTGCATAGATTTCAGCACCTCGGGGTTACGACCCATACCGAGGTAGTCGTTGGAGCACCACACGGTCACCCTCTCTTCAGGAGAAGCGGTGTGGGCACGAGGGAACTCCTTGGCCAGGCGATTGATGTTGTTGAAGTAGCGGTACGATTTGTCCTTGTGTTTCTTCTCAAGCTCGCCCTGGTAGAATGCATTGTAGTCGAAGGGCGTGGCGTTAGGGGCATGGGGACGAGGGCCGGGCACAGTAGCGGCGGACGGTTCGAACTGCTGCTTGGTGACGCCGGAAAGACCGGGGTGAGCTGGAACAATGCCGTTAGCATAGATGTTGGCGTTGAGACTGTAGGAAAGGAATAAAATGAAGTACTAACCTCTCTGTGACTCCTTGTAGACATTCGGGGTCACATCAGCGCCATTGCCAGCGGTCGAATGCAACGCTCTTTTGCCGACAGTGGGCCGGAATTGCTTGGGGTTCAGGCCCGCCACACCGGCAGTATAAGAGGTGAACCGCTTGGTGTGAGCCAGGCGAGCACTCTGCACCGCCAGAGCCTTGCTCATCACTGGGCAGCGACGAGCCAGGACCTGGAGGTTGGACATAGTGCCACCGCCAGGGCTGATGCTGGGGCGGGTCGCGGTCGACAGTGAGCGCAAAGTGGTCGGGGAAGTGCGCTTGAGGAACGGGCACATGGCCCGGGACTGCTGGAGAAGCGACTCCATGGAGACTCGAATGAGCGGGCGGACAATTCGAGATGGAGAGTGCAAGTCGAAGGAATGAGATAGCCCCTAATTGACGATCAGGGAGCAGTGGATGTGGAGGAATGGGGAGAAGAAGAGGGTAGTGAATAGGAGAAAGAAGGGAAAAGGAAGAAGAACAAGACAGGATATCTGGAACTTTCAAGATTTGGGAGGGGAAAAATTACTGGCCTCCCGATTACGGGATTCCATGACCGGTAATGAATGTAATTTTAGGTATGACTCGCCGAGGCTGACGATCGAGACGCCACTGATTGGCTGCTCGGCAGGCCGGCATGGGGGACAGCTTGCTGAGTAAGACGAACGGGCCACTCACGGCGCACATCAGGCCACCCGGTCTTTGCTCGGCAGGAAAGTTGGTGAAACCCTGGGATCGGACAGGTAATCAGGGTGTTACTCCGTGAAGTATACATCTGTCTCTTACTGCATTGTCTTCTGCGTTATCCAATGCATGTTGGGATGCGGAGATGCTCGTTGGCGTATGCCATCCGATAAATCGGGCAATGTACTCTGTACAGGAAATACTACTACATAATACGTGTTGGGGACGATCGTTACAGCGCACGGGGGCAAAAAAGTGCGGAGAAGACCGATCTACTACTGCAGTCACCGGGATTACTCATCCCCTCAAGGCCCAGAACCACATGCCATCAATAATCAAACCCCGAGCGAAAGAAGGAACTTGCAGAAATAAGATCAAGTGAAAATGTATCCCAGTTCCAAATCCAATCACATGTAGAACAATACAAACATACCACATCCATCCGTCTATCCGTCGTCTGCTTCCCTCCTCGCCGCTGCTTTTTGGATGCCTCATAATGACTAAGCTCATGTCCATCTGTCTCATACATTACCGCAATAGTCTGCTCATCACCACTCTGCCGCCCTAACCTAATGTCTCGTGTATCAAAATGCTCCTTGTTAATACATGACCTCGGATACCATAGCCCGAAGCCGAGGAAAGAAGTGAAATGAAGAAAAGGTGTTCGAATCGCAAAATAAATAAAAGGAAAATGGTAAGGATGGAAAGCCTTTAGAAACTTGGGCATAAACAGGAAAGACAAGAGGGAATGATATCCAAACGCCGCCATTCCGTCAAATCGTATGGGTAAAACGAGAGAATGAAAGTGCGAATGTCTGATCGGATCAGCTGGGACCCAGGCCTCCATCGCCGTCAATGAGACGCAGTCGCTCCTTAGTTGTCTTGGCGCGCTTGGACGTTCCCTTGCCCGATCCGCGTCCACGTCCACGCTTGGGTGCTGGGGTGGACGAGGGCGTGCCCACGTTCTCTGCAGTCGACACAGGAGTTGCTGCCCCGGATGGTTTGGCACTGGCATCGTCAAAGTTACCCTCGCCTAGGAAAGTTAGAATTCATCTCAAAGCTATATGTAAAGTGCGTAGGGAAAGGCATACCTTCGTGGTACATATCATCCAGCGTAATGTCCTTCTTTCTCTTCTGTGCTGCCTTCTTTCCGCCTTTGCCCGCACCGAACACTTCGCCGCGGTCCAGAGCCTCCTTCTCCTTCTGCTCAATGAGCTCGGCTTGCTCATCGTCGGCCAGCCACATGGCAATATCTTTCGTGCGACTCTCCCGGTTGCGCGTGTTGAAGTCCACTCCTCCAGCCGCGCCACCTGTGATAACAACCCGCTGGACCTCTTCCTTCTGCAGGGCACGCTTGCGAATCCGCTCTTCGATGGTACCCCGGGTAATCAATCGATACACCGTAACCTGCCGTGTCTGACCAAGACGGTGAGCGCGGTCCATGGCCTGAGAGTCAATAGTCGGGTTCCAATCCGAATCGTAGAAGATGACGGTATCGGCCGCAGTCAAGTTGATACCCAGACCACCAGCACGAGTGGACAGCAGGAAGACGAAAATTTCAGGGCGCTGTTGGAAATCAGCCACAGTGTCACGGCGATCCTCCAATTTGGTGCTTCCATCCAAGCGGCAGTACTTGTAATTGCGGTAAGTCAAGTACTCCTCCATCAGGTCGATCATGCGGGTCATTTGGAAGTACAGCAGTACACGGTGACCGCCTGCCTTGAGCTCGCGAAGCAATTCATCCAGCTTAGCCAATTTACCAGAATCGGTGACAAACCGGCGCATGGATGGCACTTCAATGTGCGTGTAACGGCCCTTGACGGATATCGGCGCCGGAAGCATGGGGGCAAGCGAGTACGGGGTAGGGTCCACCTTCTTCTCGATGATCTGTTCATCGACCTGTCTTGAAGGCGGGCTATACAGTGCGTGTCGAACGGAGACATTGAAGAGGGTGTCCTTTGCCTCAATCGAGGGGACATGGCTCGAGGAAACCACAGAGATCGGAGGTGCCGATGCGGCGGGACTGACGCAGGGCTCAATGACGTTAAGGCCTTCCCGCTCGTACGTAGATTGCGAGACGGTCATCAAGTCCCGCATTATTCCCTCTGCGGCAACTTCATTGACGGCGTGCTTATCATTGCGATCGACGATGTTGAACAGTGTATGCGGAAGGGCAGACTCTGCCAGCTCCTTGTCGTCATCGTAGGCAACGTTAAGTCGGGATAACCTGTTAACCTGACCCCGACGACGGACTGCTCGCTCGAAGACTCCGAGGTGCGATTGCTCGTACGCTTCACCAAGTGATGTATCAACAAAACGCAGGAAAGAGAACGCTCCGTCGTCCTGAATGCTTTGCTTCATATTCTCCGGGGTGAAGATATTCATCAAGTGGTTCAGGTATCGTCCACGGAACCCGGCGTGAGGATTTTCAGCGCCCGCAATGTCGACACGACCGCCTGCACCGCAAAGAAGGCGTGGCATGGGGTATTCAATCAAATTGCGGGTTGAGTACCTGACATCGACGTTGGTGCCTTCCCGAACAAACGACGCCGTCTCGGCAAAGTAGGCGGTAGAGAAGGGAGACTTTGTTTCGGCACGCTCGAACAGGTCAGGGTGGTTACAGACCTTACGGAACTGCATGACCAAATTCATCAGGGTCGTACTATCGGCCTCGTCACCGACGGCAGCCTTTTCGATAAGATCCATGATGCTGACGCGGTTCCGTAGATTAGTATAATAGGCCCGCTGGCGATAGGTAAGATCACAGAAAATGTCCTTTTCGACCTTATCTCCAAGCTCCTGCTGGACGTGCTTCTTCACACGACGCAGCATGAACGGTTTCAAGATCATGTGTAGACGCCTCAGCTGATCCTCGTTGAGTTTCGTGTTACTCTGAGCATGAGATTCAATATCCTTGGAGAACCATTCGCTGAACTCGTCATGAGAATCAAACAATGTCGGCATGATAAAGTGAAGGAGGGCCCACAGCTCCTGCATGTTGTTCTGAATCGGAGTACCGGTAAGAAGGAGACGGTTACGACAGTGGAATCCAAGCAAGTTCTTCCATCGTGAACTCTGCGAGGACTTGATGGCCTGGGCTTCGTCCAGAATCATGTACTGCCATTTCACCTTCTGGAAGTACTGAGCATCAAGCACGACGAGCTGATACGACGTCACCAGCACGTGGAACTCCGATTCCTTGGTGTAGGTGATATGCTTGCGGTCCCAGAACTTGCGGAGAATCTTACGATCCTTGGCAGAACCCCAGTAGGGAAGCACCTTGATATCCGGCACGAACTTGGTGATTTCCTGCTGCCAGTTGTGTAGGGTTGAAGCGGGCGCAATAACCAAAAACGGACCCCAGATGTTGTGTACCTCGGCGAGATAAGCCATGACGGAGATAGATTGGATGGTCTTTCCCAGACCCATCTCGTCGGCTAGGATACCGTTGATGCCTTGCTCATACAAGTTGACTAGCCAGTTTAGACCCTTCAGTTGGTACTCCTTGAGCTTAGCGGTAAGCATGTTGGGCTGCGAGATCTCGATGTCTCCCAAACTTGTAGGGTTTTGGAAGTTCAGTTCGCCCTCATCCAAGGCATCCATCTGGTCCTGATTGTTGAAGGCGCGTGCTCGGTCCTGCGCTTCCTGAACAGCATTCTGGGCGTTAGCCATGGCGGCCTGCCGCAAGGCGGTCTCGTCTTCGGCATCAAAGTCAAGATCCTCAAAGTTCGTAACTTTAGTGCCTGCATCAGCAACACTGGAGGGCATGTCGATAGTATGAGCCTGACCCTTGCCGGGCTGGACGGTCTCACCCGTCGTTTCCACGGCGGTGTCCCCGGCAGCATCTTCTGCGCCCTTGATTTTTCGGCCAATGAAGTGAGAATACAGTTCTGTTTGGGAGATGAGGAAGTTAAGCTTGCGCCTTTGACGGTTGGCTTCGCGTTCTGCTTCCGCCTTCTTAGCAGACTCAATCTCTTGCTTCTCCGCAAGACGGCGAAGATCACGCTCCTCGCGTTCGTTACGCTTCCAAAAGGACATCATCTCACGCATGGTGCGCTTGGCGCGGGCTTGCGTATCCTTCATACTCTTGTTTGTGCGTTCCTGCCACTTGCGGGATTGCTTGCTAGCCAGCTGAGCTGTCTTGCGTAGATTCTCCTGACGCGTGCTGAGGGACAAGGCCTTGATGCGGTAGACTTTGGGAATGTCTTTCCGGGCAATGTCACGCCAGATCTGCTCATAAATCTGGTTATAGCCTTTAGTCTCGTAGGCGGACAAGGGTGTTGGCGTGGGCTCCTTGGAGCGGCCACCTTTAACCTCCTTCTTGAGAGACTCCTTTCGGGGGTCCTCCTTAGGTGCGATAGGCAGAGGTTCGTCATTCTCCATAGCGGCATAAGCAGCCTCTGCAGCGTCCTTTTCGGCCTGCTTTTGCTCTTTCGACTTCTTTGGCCGGGTGACCGGTCCACCGCGACCGGACTTGCGTCTCGACGGCGAGCCCCGGCCAATGTGGAAGGAGCTGGTAGTGCCGCCTTCGAGATTGGGAGCCAATGGAGTGACCTCGCTGATCTCCTCTGGGGCAGTGATCCCCTCGAGAGCTCTCTTGGTGGTCTTGATCTTCCTTTGCGCCCGTTCAGCTTCACGAAGGAATTTGGCCTTCTCCGCAGAATCCTGAGCTTCGTGCGCCTTGGCCTCTGCTTCCTTTTTCTTTTGCATCTCCATGCGCACCGTGTTCTCACGACGCCGCTTGCGTTGCATGTCCTTCTTGCGCTCCTTTTCATCCTGAATTTCTTTCGCCTGGACTTCAGCAACGACGGATGCTTCGTTTGCATATCGGAATCGGTCCATGCCGGCAGTTGCTTGTTTCTCGAGGGACTTGCTGAGCTTGACAAGGAAGTCATTTCGGCGGCGCTAGAAGCCGTGTCAGTAAATCCAGCAGATTTTGCATGTGATAGAAGTCATTGCGTTACCTTGCGTCTCAAGATTTCAGCCTGTTCAGTAGCAAAAGCACGTTTCTTGCCCTTGGCGCGATATTCCTCCCGGAACCGGTCGTAACCAGGGGCTTCCACATCGCTCTTGTCCGCTTCGGCCATATCAGCCAACGCCTTGTTGAGGGCTTCTGTCTCCCGTTCAGACATCACTTGCCGAGATCCGGCACCACGAGGCTGAGCGAGCGTCTTTGAAGTCTCGGAGACGCCGTTGGCCACATTGGAGGCCCGTGAGTCGGCTGTCTTTTGCTCAATGTCCGTTGGATTGCGACGGCGTTTCTCCGTGGTGGGCTTCTTCTCCAGTCTCGGTAGGGAGGCGGTGAGAGCTGGTGCCCGGTCTTTGGACTTTTGTGACGGAGCAGCCGAAGCTACGGGCGGAGGACTGAGACTGGGTTGGGCTGTTGCTGCGGGCGCTAGGGGAGTTGGGGTAGCCTCTGCAGAAGATTGTCTCGGGGGAGGAGCGCGCTCCTCAGTCGGACCGGAGAGAATGCTGGCAAAAGACATGGGATCTGCTGCCCTCGTCGGTTTCTAGATGTAGCAGAGCATCACAGCGTCAGTCAATGTGTAGGGAAATGTGGCCATGACTAACAAGGGGATAACATACCACGTCCTTGGGGGGTGATGACGCTCGTGGCTCGCGCACCACAGAGGAGGATGGATAACCCATAACACCGTGAGTGCCCATGGAAAACTGGGAATCTGTCTCCTTCTTGGGTGAGGTTTGGGGATGACTATCGGGCCGACCAGCGGGATGGGCGTGAGACGGTGTTGAGTGACCGTAGGGAGATGCGCCGTTGCCTGACAAGACGGAGCCAGGATAGGGCCGCGGGAGAGCAAACTGTGGGTTTCCAGCCGAAGAATGTGCCTGGTATTGCGACGGCGGTTCCGAGGGATGAGATGACGGCGGCGCGGCGCCGTTCAATGGCGGCAGAGTGCCTGGCAATGGGGAAGGCGCATGGGAGAAGTGAGGGCTCCTGGACGAGAAGGCAGGAGGCGTCTGGGGTGGATGTTGCTGGTATTGCTCATTGTTGGCGTAGTAAGGGCGGCTTTTAGTCTGGGGGGAATAAACCGGATAGCGAGACTGCTGCGTGGGAGATTGAGGATTATAAGGCGGAGCCCCCGTCATGGTGGCCGCGTGTGCCGGGGAACGCGGCGGCGAGTGTTAGAAGTTGGTGCCAGCAACAGGGACCGCAAAGGCGATGGGTGGTTGGAGGAGGAGGAAGGGGAGAAAACGTGTTCGGGGCGAACAAGGACCGTTATGAAGAACGAGGGCTGGCCATGCGCGAAGGGGGTTTCGAGAGGATTTATCTCAGGAAGATCTCGATGGGGGGCGATCACGCGTCGGGTTGGTTGCCGCAGCTGGTCCCAGCTATCTGCGGAAGGAATTAATTCTGAGAGGCCTAAATGGGGAGAAGTGGAGAAGGAAGGCTGGAGGTTATTGGGAGGAAGGATGGCGATGATATGAAGGTAGGAGATGATGGGGGGAAGATGGAAGAAAAAGACAGGGAAGGATGAGGTGGAAAAGGGAGGATCGCCTCACCGGATTGACAGGAATCTTCGGAGGGCTCCAAAGTGCTTGTGGTGAGCGAGCCAACAAACCCTCCACGGGTCAACCGTTCCGGACAGGATGCGACAAGAAACACAGGCCCAGCCAAGCCGTGAATGGGCTACCCGATCGGGGAATGGTCCTGGGCCGGCTGAGAACACTACTTGAGAAACCCAGCAATGTTCGCAACGGGGACTCTCAAGATGAATTGATGGAGAATTGAGATTGGGATTGGGATTGAGATGGGGGGAGGGTGTGAGGTGGATGTGGATGTGGATGTGGATGTAAATGTGAAAGATGGAGGAGGTGAGCAGCAGGTAAGGGGAAAGAAGAGTGGAGGGTGATGATCTCAGTTCAGTTCAGGTTTGGTGTTGTAGTGTAGTGTAGTGTAGTGTATCGTACCTCAGTTTGAGATACCTTTCCTTCCTTAGCTAGACGTGGTGGTGGTGAATGGGGTCGTGCTCCGGGGAGGAGATGGCAGAATACATAGATGATGATGAGAAAGATGGAAGTTCGAGATGAAGATTAATCTCACTAGGGATTGGGATTGGGATGGATGGATGAATGATGAAGAGGATGATGGCGATGGTTCCAGTATTTTTGATTTTTTTTGCGCTGCTGCTTCCCTTTTCCCCCCCTTTGGGCCAACTTTCTCCCTCATTTTCCCTCATCTTGTCTCGTTCCTTCTTTCGTTTCTTTCTGCTTTCCCCATCCAATCCCGCACCTGTCCGTATGTATTGGTATTACGGTTACGGATGTTACTGACCACTAGCCGTTGCCCAGATCACCACAGCTGAAGTTTGCAGCAGCTCGATGCCTTCTTCCAGCCTTCTCCTAGCCTTCTCCTATCTAGAACATGGAAATTCCCCCGAATATTGGTGTTAATCTCTACAAGACAAACAATCATCTACACAACGGCTATTGCATACTTTCCTTTATTGACTTATTCCTTTGAAAAAAAGAGAAATAAGTATAACACTACCTCCATCATCTCCTTCAATCTCTCCTGCGTCTGGACCGGGGAGGCTCCGTTCCATGACCGAACTGTTTAGTTCGATACAGGTAATGACCGTCTCCAGACATCATCGCCTTTCGATCGGGAACGGAGAGAGCGACTGACTGTGACTGACGGACTCTCGGGTTTTTATGGAGATTACCGCCAACTCTGTCCCCCGGTTCTCCCATCATCCATCACGCTCTCCAAAATCTCACAAAACAGGACACTTCATCGTACACCTGATCATGAGGGGGAGGGATGGTCGCGTGTGCTGCTGCCCCTCCAGGGGCTTTTGACACGATTTGAAGCGCCTGCATCGGCTTACATTGTCCGGCGTACATGGACTAGGTAGACCTACAGCCGTAGATAAGTCGAGTAACTACGCCGGCGTCTTGCCATGTCCAGGATCCATCCATATTGTGTTCCCGGCATCTCGCGACTTCGGTTCAAGACTACATCATCAATTACTAACAAGCACGCTGTGAGACCGCAAATCTTGGCCATCTCAGCATTTTTGACAGAATTCGACATCAGTAGCTATCCATGTTACCTCCATGTTTCTAATTTCTCTAGAATGCCGATAGCTTCAAAATGGCGGTTGAACATGGAGCGTGGCAATTACCTTATCCCGGGGGTGATGAGGAGCTACCCCATGTATCTTGCCGGAGCTACCGCCACCAAAGTCTAGTGCCACGCACAATGATCTCCAATGACAACCCCGGAGTAGATGTTCTCGGGTTGGACTGCGGCTGATGGTTACATACTAACGCAACGCTTGTCCGAACTGGAGTTGCCCCAATAAATAGTTAAATAGGTGCTCAATCGTAAAGGGGAGTTAACTGGTCTCTCCACCAAGTAATGTCGATATGGTGCCAAAATAATCTAGGTAGAAGGGCATGGATGCTACTCTATAGCTAAATATCCGCCTGGTAATGGTTTCAAATGCCACGAACCTTGCAAAAGTAGTCCTTTGTACTACTTATAGAACCTTGAATCAAAGCTTCTAGCCTCCCTATGATAGGTAATTTGCTAACAGTTGCACGACTCATGCCCATACCAATGTTCAGGGCTCAGCCGGCGCTGCAACGGGTGTACATAAATGGCCCCGTTGCAACAAGTTCTTTTACCCAAGCTGCAAGTAAAGCATGCCCAAGACTGGGGTAAACATCGATCCTTAGCAACCTAGCATCCAATTCATGTTGAATCGGCTGATCAGGTAGTTTGCTCTATGACAATCATTGAACAGACTCTATAGATCTCTTTGTAATTGCTAAGAACACCTCCGAAAAGGGTTAAGATGGGCTCGTGGTCAGGTGGGTGCCCCGGAGGTACTCGATCAGACCATCCACAACTGGCCTTTTTCAACCTTCCATCTGCCCTTTTTGCCTGGAAGCTTCCGCAGATTCAGTTCTCCGATGATACTGCCACTGATCATGATATTGGTTTCTTATCATGTCTGACCACCACTGACTGGTGATGCCATTGAACTACCGGGAAGCTGCGAGATCGGCTGAGACCTGCGAATCCCATGCAATCTAGCCGCAGTAATGAGAGTTCATCTGCGGAGAAACCAACCAGGAACAGGATTCGGCAGAGCACGAAGAGTTCGAGGTATAGGAACTAATCACAAAGTAACGCAGAGGAGCTAAGGAACATTCTTGAATTTGGGGTGAGACAAAGGGATGCGATGCAACGATCCTGGATGAGGCCCAAGGCAGCGATAAGAATGATCGGCCTGACGCTCTCGGATCGCCCGTCCAACCATGCGCCTTAAATCTGCCGTGGTAGAAGATCTATCCGCAAGCATGCTTCTGCTACCTGCCTTCATGGCTGCAGTTTTTGATAGAATTGAGTGCTATAGACTGGGGAACGACCGAGAAGGAAGCCGTTCGTCCGCGTCATCCGCGCCTCTCTCGCTCTCAACCTTCCATCGGAACAATCAACCCCTCTTTGCCAACACGAACCAGATGCTGCAAGCTGGGGCTGGGCCGACTTAATGCGGTTCTAATAGCGGGGATCTGATAATAGAGGGTCTTTATAGCCAGCGTTCCTCGTATACATCTGGGGTTTCAGGATGTTCATTTCCCCCCACGCATTTCCCGCGAATGGAAGCTGCGGAGAGAGCTTGAGTTTCCATGACGTCTATCCCGTCTGCCATGTCCCGCCATCCCGACAGCCATGGATCGGGATACTCAACCACTTAGACTCAGTGAGACATTGATGCGGGATATTTTCCAGGAGTGGCTTGTGGTATACATCTTTACTGGGCTGCCTGTGAATCTCGTCCTTTACTGAATTGGGCATGCTGTAAGCCCGAGGATGGCCGCCCGGCCGAAAAGACCAAGAGCCAGCTCTAGGCTCGGTGACTACGACTTCCTTGTCAGTGTCTCCTGGCATGAATCCCTGTCCTGCCACTGGATCCTCCTGGTTCGACGTCACTCGATCCCAATTCACTTCCGGCGATGGGCGGACATCACCCCACCTGTCCGTCATACCCGGCAACACCACCAGGACGCAACTACATAAAGCCACGAAGGTTTCTCGCCCCTTGACCTGGGAGACCCTGATCATTCGTCTCACATCAACATCAATTGCTTTCATCAGCTTCACATCACATCGTATCTTTGTCGTCTACTATCCCATCCGATTCCCCAGTCTGCCAACATGACTATCCCGGAGAAGCAATGGGCCCAAGTGGTCGAGAAGAAAGGTGGTCCCGTTGTTTACAAGCAGATTCCGGTTGCAAAGCCTGGCCCGGACGAGATTTTGGTCAAGATCAGGTATACCGGAGTTTGCCATACCGACTTGCACGCCATGAAGGGTGATTGGCCACTCGATTTGAAGCTTCCTCTCGTGGGCGGACATGAAGGAGCTGGCGTGGTCGTCGCCACGGGTGAACTCGTCAATGAGTTTGAAGTTGGAGACCACGCTGGTATCAAATGGTTGAACGGATCCTGTTTGGCTTGTGAGTTCTGCAAGCAGGCTGACGAACCCCTCTGTCCCCACGCTTCGCTATCCGGCTACACCGTCGATGGTACGTTCCAGCAGTATGCCGTCGCCAAGGCCAGTCATGCGTCGAAGCTTCCGAAGGAAGTTCCTCTTGATGCTGTCGCTCCGATCCTATGTGCCGGTATCACCGTCTACAAGGGATTGAAGGAGTCTGGGGCCCGTCCCGGCCAGACCGTCGCCATTGTCGGCGCCGGAGGTGGACTCGGATCGCTGGCTCTGCAGTACGCCAAGGCAATGGGACTTCGTACCATCGCTATCGACGGTGGCGATGAGAAGAGAGCCATGTGCGAGAAACTCGGATCAGAGGTAAGCCCCCATTCTCCCGATACCACCACATTCAGCTAATCACTCCCACAATGTAGGCATACATCGACTTCAAGACGTCCAAGGACGTAGTTGAAGACGTCAAGGCAGCCACTCCGGAAGGTCTGGGCGCTCACGCTGTGATCCTTCTCGCTGTGGCCGAGAAGCCCTTCCAGCAAGCAACCGAGTACGTTCGCTCCAAGGGCAGTGTCGTCGCTATCGGCCTGCCAGCCGGCGCGTTCCTTCGAGCCCCTGTCTTTAACACCGTTGTCCGTATGATCAACATCAAGGGAAGCTACGTTGGCAACCGACAGGATGGCGTGGAAGCGGTAGACTTCTTTGCTCGCGGACTTATCAAGGCTCCGTTCAAGACGGCTCCTCTGGAGGAGTTGCCGCGCATCTTCGAACTGATGGGTATGTTTTATACCTGCTTATAATCAACTCAGTTTACTAACGAACCAACAGAACAAGGCCAGATCGCCGGTCGGTATGTCCTTGAAGTACCTCAGTAAGTGAGTAGACATGGAAAGAACTGGCGTTGGGGATATGGCTTCACGAGTTGCTGGACAGAGTGTATTAGCCAGTCCTGAACTACTACTATGATGGGTTAATGACTACGATAATGTCTCTGTGGCATATTAAACAAGATAAATGATACAGAAATAATCGATTCCTTCTATAAATCCACATGTGATATGAAATATACCAAGAAAAAGAGCTTCCAGCACTGCTGCAATTAATCCAGCCTACGGAGCACATATCAGCGTCCCATCCATCTATCATGCATAATCATCAGTCACATCACTCACTACTTACAAGACTACTTACTAGTGGCCAATAAACTACACTAATCTGCCCTTCATTCAGGTATACACCATAATCTACCAAACACCATGAATCTATACAAATTAATAATAATCCCTATATTCCTTGCGATGAAATAGCAATAATCCCTCTATGATACCAACCAACATCAAAGCCCATTCATCACCTGGTTAAATACATTGAGACCCATCCAAGATGTACATACAAAATAATGAATCAATCACTTCATCTCATCCCCACTCGACTCCCCACTCACACCCCCACTCCCACCCACCGTCATCTGCGGCCCCCTATACACCTTCCTCGCATAAACGACATAATAAACCATCGCCCCCAGCCACAAACTCCCATTAATCACAATCGTATAGTTCATATCCTGCGCTATACCCAACAACATCATTAGCTTTCATCCTCTCCTCGACCCAAACAAACTTCAATCAAAGGGATAGATAGATAGATAAACTTACGTGATGGATTTGGTCCCCCCGTAGGAAACATACTCAGCACAATAACATACGCCAAATACACCACCGCAGTAATAGCAATCGGCTTACTAAACCACCCAGTATAAAACTCCCCCGGATGGAAGCGCTCCTTACCCCAGACGAGACGACTAAGGATGGGGACCATCCAAGCGAGATCATTGCCCGCGACGGCGAGGGAGAAGAGGGCGCTAGAGGCGGCTTCATCGATGAGACAAAGGAGACCTAGGATGATGGAGATGAGGACGACGAAGCAGACCATTCGGACGGGTTGGTAGCGGACGCGTTTGCTAACGTGGCGGAAGAAGGAGGAGAAGGGGAGGGCGCCGTCGCGAGAGAAGGCCCAGCTTTGGCGGGAGGCGGCAACGACCTGTTTCATTTATTGTGAGTTTCACTTTGTGAATGGTTGGTGATTAGGGGAAGGGGAAGGAGGGAGGGTGTTGTACCAAGCTTAGGCCCATGAAGAATTGGACGATTGCTACGACGACCATGAAGCCCAGGGCACCGCTTTTGCCGAGGGCATCGTAGTAGATCTATAGTACCTTCGGTTAATGCTATATTCTAGGGTATAGGTATAGGATGGAGGGAATGGAAGGTGAGTGGGTGGGTGAGTACCTGCGCCATTGGCTGTCCGAAACTCGAGTTCAGCACGGCATTAAGATCCGGGTTGATCACGGCGGCGATGAGCGCGAGAGATACAAACCCTAACAGACCGCAGAGTCCCGCAGACCAGATGATACCCAAGGGTACAGCACGCGCCGCATGGCTAGCCTCCTCGCTCATGTGGACGCAGGAGTCGAATGCGCCGATGGTCCAGATGGGCGACATCCACGAGAGCATGAAAGTCCAGCCCTGGGGCCAGGTTGTGAGGTTCTCAGAGTGTCCGAAGACATATGTTCCCGAGTTGATCTGTCCTCCGCGGACGGCTTTACCAATGGGCAGAGCGAGGACTGTAGCGAGGACGAGGCCGACGTTGCTCACGATACAGGCGGACTGGATTTTGGGCATGATGCGCGCGCAGAAGATGGCGATGAGGCCATGGACGACCACGCAGGCGACGTAGGTGCCGTATAGAACGGGTCGAGAGGCCGTCCAGTTTCCGTCACGCGCGATTGATACGACGGAGAGGAGCATTGTAGCGAAGCCGTCTTGTCGGCTAGGGTCAGCGATGGGAGGATACGGAGGGTTCGAGGGATTCGCATACAATCGATGGAGCAGACGCCGCCAATGAGTCCGAGACTATTGCTGTACCCTACGACGAAGCTGAGAGGGTTCTTCCACTTCTCGCCGCTGAAGTAGTGAGTCCAGAAGTAGAGACCACCGGCTGTCGGCATGGCGGATGCTAGGTCGGCCTATGCCAGTGGAGCAGTGAGCATTCAGCAATTCGATAAGTATGAGAGATTTTGCGCAGCAAACATACCATTGCCAAAGCCACGATGAAGATAAACACACTGGCAGAGAACCATCCTGCACGAATCATCAGAATCTATACCTAGAGTTTACCAAACAATAGCAAAACCCTTACCCTAATTCAAGTTAGCCAAGAATTTCCCCATGTATGTAAATCCAGCATGCATATGCAACCATACCCAAACCATGCCCGCCGGACCAGCAGGAATCGAATACGAAAGTGTCGAGGCAATCGAAGGCAACAATCCCATAATACTAAAGGCGATAGCGAAGACCTGGACAGTGGAATAATGACGACGCAATTCCTGCTTATACCCCAGCGTAGCTAATCCGATGCGATCAGCACAAACAACCAACCAGAAAAACCAACAACTCGATAGAAGTAAAGATGATAGCATGACATACCCAAAAGCTGCGAATCCCCCTGCTCGACGGGGGCATCTTCATCGGCTTCACGAGCAACATCCTTGAGTTTTTCCACCATCTTGAAAAACAGAGAAGGAACAGCAGATAACAAACAGGGCGATGAAAGAAGAAACGTAAATGACAGCAGAAGGATGCACAAGCACCAGACACTCAACTTATACTAGTTCCAATGAGTACAACGGCGCGGGGTTCCAGACCTTCTCCTCCAACCCATCGGGAGTATAACAAGTATCTATCATCCATCTTTTACGCCGAATGGGAGAAAAAGAAACTGTGCTGATAATCCACTCAATTCATCCTCCGATAAGCCCAACAAATCGGTGGCTCTGCGCTACCAAATAGGTAAGTAGCCACATCCTCGTAAAATCAACCAACGAACGAGAGAGGCCATCGATTAGAAGAGCTGCAAGACTGGGATGTTGTTATCACGACTCTTATCGCGGGGGAAACCTAACACGACGTCCGAGCAGCCAATCTGAATGATCCTGCGTCTGATAACAACCCGCGCTGGGGCACCATAGGTTGGAGGCTTGTCGCGAAGGATCCATTGCCGATTGCCCATTTCGGAATCGGAAGTGACAGGAGAGGGGGAAGGAGGATTATTCCGAGGTTTACTGCTAGTAAGTAAGTACTCTGCCGGTGCTGCCAGCGGGGGAACCACACGCCTACTAGTGAGAGGGGGATCGGCTTGTCCGACTAGACTGGCTTGGCTTATCTACGGAGGTATATTACTACCTACGCATGTGCTTCATTGCAACTCAACGAACAAGAAGAATCTCAATCATTCAGATCTAAAATGAAACATGGCAATCATACACAATGACATGTGTCCAGGGTGTCCAGACCCGGCTATGCCAAAGAACAACAATATAAAAGCAGCTGCACCGGTATATAGTGGATATACAAGCACCCCCGCATGAGTAAAAGGGAATTGCTGTCTGGAGCATACTCGCTACTGAACGCAACAGGGCGAGCTACAACCACTGACAGACCCCAGGGGTCGAGCAGAAGGAATAACCATCCCGAAAATAGGAGGCTGGCAGAAAACAGTGGAACAGAAGTTGAAATCATGCATTATGAGTACACACAAGGTGGAAAAAAAACGAATGGAGTATCATTTAAACAGCACCAGGCCCCTTGTGGTTCGACTGATCTAGCAAAAGTCGAGGCTTGATATAATCTTCGTCCAACTGTCGGAACCACGCCGCGTGGTCCCCGGACGGTCCTCCCGAGAAGAGGTCGCGAATGGCATCGCGGGCACTCAATCCGGTCTCGCGCCGGTTAGGCGAGGTATTGTTAGGGGGTGTGGTTTGCGACGGCTCCAGATATTGTTGAGGCTGGGACGGCGATCGCCTAAGGCGCGAAGTAGTCGGCGCCGGGGCGGACGGGGGGAGGTCGTCATCGGACGGCGCATCCTCGACATCAAGGTCAAATGCGTCCAATTGATCGGCGTCTGCCACGCGGTTCTTTCCAGTAGTCCTCAAGCCAAACTCGTCCTCACTGGCCACCTCGCTATCGCTGTGGCTGCGGGCGCCACCACCCAGCAGCGTGGCTGTCGACGTACGATCACGCCCTGAATCTCTCTGGCTGTATGCGTTGGAATAGAGCCGGGCATGGCCTCGCGTACGGCCCGAGCCAGATGGAGGAGGACTGGGGCGACGGTTGTTGCCGCTCGAATAGCTGTTGTTCCGGTCGATATCGCCGCGCGGCACTCCGTCCAACGGAATGGTCGAGTCCATACGGCGAGGCGTGTATCCCAAGCCTGTATCTGAGCGTTTGTAGTAGGTGCCACCGTTGGTGACCTCGATGTCAAACTCATCGTCCGACTCGATCTCTTCAACAACTCCGGTCCGGATTCCCAGAATCTCCAACATCCGGGCCGTCGTGCCACCGAAAATGATGACGGTCAACACCACCACCACGAGAACAGTGGCTCGCAGCGCCGGGGCGTTGACGCCCTTCAGGCCCGCGGCCAGCGCAACACCGACAGCTCCGCGCAGACCTGCCCAGAAAAGCATTGCTTGATAAGCGAAGGGCAGCTCGTCAGCAACATCCATGCCGCGGCGACGGGCTCTGTATCGGATGAACCAGTTGATCGCCTTGGACAGCGGAAACACCGCCAAGTAACGCGCAATACAGATACCGAAAACGGCGACCAGGATAAAGAGAGGCTTGAACTGTAGATGTCTTTGGACAAGCAAGTCAAGTCCGAGATAAATGAAGATAAAGTTCTCCGACAACTGCGCCATCACTTGGAAGAGGTATTTCGTGGTGAGTTGGGTACGGCGCGACATGTTGTAGTACGCATAGTGTTTGAGGGTGATTCCACAGAACAGAAGAGACACAATGCCTAGAAATGTCAGCTTGTCTCACACCCTTGGTGAAAAGCACATCACTCACCAGACAAATAAACACCATTCGAGAAGAAGTAGCTGGCATAGGCGATAAGGACAATCAAGCAACTCTCAATCTTGGGCTGGCGGCGCACATGCGTGTACTTCAAGCCCAGAGCGGTCATGATGCCGACGATGATACCCACCATCATACTTCCAAAGAAAACCAGCAAGAACACTCCAATAGCCTCGAACAAGTTCAAGAAAGTCAAGGAACCCGCATCACTGTCGGCGTACTTCTGCGCAGTCTCGAACAACACAATAGCGATAGCATCGTTCAAGATCGACTCGCCAAAAATGACCGTGTAGAGCTTCGGCTCGACTTTGTACAAGTTGAAGATAGCCAAGATAGTGACTGGATCCGTCGCCGACAGAGTCGCACCGACTGCGATAGCCTCAACGAAGGAGATATTCAACCCATCCAACGGAATTCTCGTCCAGACAAACAAGACCAGTCCCAACACAATAGCAGAGATAAACGTTCCCGCGAAGGCGAAGGTGAGAATGGTACCGATGTTTCGGAAGAAATTCGCCTGGTGTAATTCGTAGCCCGACGCCAAAATAATCGGAGGAAGGAGAAGGTTGAAGAAGAACTGATAATCGAACGTGACGCTATCCTGAATAGGTGACTCAGGACTCAATCGGATGATCAATCCGACGAACATGCCTAAAGTTATCCCACTCCATAAGCGCCTGCTCCTCATAATCTCCCGAAAGGAAACAACCAAGCTGTGATCGACGTACCCGCAAATATAGACAGCACTGTTTCATGAACCGCCTGAATCTTCTTCTGTTGGAGAATGTAACTCGTGAATAGCGCGAACATCAACAACATAATCAGGATGAAGAGCGCCCAGGAGCTGAAGAACTCCTTATCGCCGGTATCCGGAGCATCTGCTGTAAATCCGACAATGTCAGATCGAATGGCCAAGACCAGAGATAGAATATTTTGGGAGGAGTATAAGGCGCGTACCATCATCGGGGTCCGTATCCGAATCCACAGCTCTCCCTGAAAAGCACGAGGTCGTTAGTGATCATGTTCGTTTCAAATTGCCCGACCGCGTATGCATCCATCACAAGGGGCCGCCGCCTCCTCACAGAGGAAGCCCCAGGGACCTCTCAACCATCAACCCGAAGCTTGACATCCTCCTAACTGAACCACTGATATCGCAGGGGACATTGAAGACATACGGATTAGCTGGAGTAAAAAGTCGCCCATCACTTGGGTAGCCATTGTTTGGGGATATCCCTCGCAATCACGACGCGGATGACGGTTTAACGCCCAGCAGCGAGTCTCTGGTACGGGGACCAGGCACACATAATCTGCCGATCGCAAAAGACCTGACGGGAGGCAGAAAGGCGCAACAGCAGCGAAAAGCGAGAGACTGTAAAGATGTGCGAAGCGAAAGCTGGCATGAGTTGTAGGGGACAAGTATTCGTCAACGCCCGCCGGAGTCCCGCGTGGCCAAGACCCGTCGCTGTTCGGCCCGCTGATCCTCCTGGCGTGTGACGTCGCCTCAATAGAATGAACTATTGCTGGTTACTTTCTGCCTACAATAACGGGTCTTTCTTATCTACTATTCCTTCCACTTTCCTTTGGCGTGGTGTTACAGATTATGATAACGCTTCCATCAATGTGTAGTATTTAATATTACCATCATTGTGTCTGTTACTCCACCCCAATATGAGAACCTGCTACGATGAAACACTCACTCCCCTTGCTCCCTCGGTAAGCCTGCTGGTCAGCACTGCCGCCAGTACTGCCGCGCAACCCCCGAACCTCATCACCCACCCAACACTGTCATCCCACGGCTCACCCCGAGGCTTCTGGAACGCCTTGAATATCGCGCTAGAAATCAGACTCGAGATGATTTGTGGCGCAGAGATGGCCACATTGTGCAGTCCGAGGATGATCCCTGCCTGTGCCAGATTTTCTTCCTCTTCCACTTCCCCTGCCTTTGTAGTTGGAGTGGGTGAACCATTCTCCAGGTCTTGCTCGTCGGTATTGGCTCGGGCTGGTATTCTCGAATCACCACGAGGCTGCTCGGAGACTGCAACCCCATTCTGATGTCGCCGCATGCGACGCTCCGTGTCGATGCGGGAGACCTCCGCAGAGATTAGGGCAAAGGGTGCCCAAAGCGTCAATGCCCACGAGATACCAACGATCCCGATAACCACCGTTGCCGCCTGGTAAGAATAGATGAAGAATGTGCTAAACATGCAGACAGCGAACAGGATGTGCGACATGAGCCACGCACGCCGAAGGGTGAATCCGGGAATCTGCAACTTTGATAGCCACTTGTTTTCTCCTGAATCGCCCTTATCGATTCCCAAGATGGGCGCGGGTGCTTCCATGGCAGTGCTAATAGAGGATGTAGACAGCCTTCTATTGCCTAGGAAGGGCTCGTCCTCCGACTCACCTTCCGTAGGAGTGGGCTCGGAAGGAACAGCTGACTTGTAGGTAGGAACAACAAGTACAGGCAGCGTCAAGTTCGTCACAAATGAGATGATTGCGTAGACCAGCAGTGCAAATGTCCCAATTCTCGTGGCCTCTTCCCAAGCTTTGTTGATATCATCATCCGAGAGACCCGGATGTCCATCGAAAATCGGATTCACAAATAGCTGCCCGATATATGTCGTGGAATAGAAGAGGAAAGGGAACCAACCCACCCATGCGGCAAGTTGAACTTCGCACACCTTGGCAATCTCCGGCGGCAGGTGTTTGATCGACTTGAAAACGTGCTTGAAGAATGTTACAAGCCCAGGGTTCCCCGATGAGGGCGTGCCATCTAGACGGGGATCGCGTTCCTTGATGTATAAACAGCTGACCAACAACGTTATCCCAAGTGCGATAGACGCCAAAGCACAGAGGACTTTGAACTGTGTGTTTCCCAAAAACGGGAACCATTTAGGCAGGTCCATGTATCCAAAAATGTACCCAAGAATGTTACCAACGCCGGTGAGCCGACTAGCCCATGCATTTGCCGCCTCCTGCTGGTGCGAAGGGGCATTATCCACAATGAAACACCGGATGCCTGCCTGCACTGCAACCGAACAGTCACTTTAAGTTTGCACATATAAGCGAAGCATAAGGAAACATACCAGTATTTACAGAAAAGTCAAGGCAGTACATCAGGATGGTGGCCAGTACAATAACCACTGTCCGCGTTGCACTGGAGGCCGGATCAACACCGAAAAGGCCAAGGAAGCCTCCGGTCATCTCCTTGACCCAAGCGAGAGCAAGGAGAGAAATGACCGTCGCAATGCCGCCCACTACCATGAACGGCTTTCTCTTGCCCCATGATATGCGGCAATTGTCGCTGCAGATGCCAATATACGGCTGCACAAGGGTACCTGTGATAGGACCAGCGATCCAAACGAATGCAAGTAAAGCCTTGCTCATTCCGAGCGACAGGAGGTAGGGCTATACTCAGGAAACATGATTAGCGTCCTATTCCCACATGAAGCCCCAGAAGCAGTGGTAGCTTACCGATCCATTTGATAGCTCAGTGGACCACACAACCTGAAGACTAGAACAACAACTCGTTAGCTTCGGGCAAAAGCCATACACCACAGATACAGTCCTCGACCAGGGAACAGGTTAGCCACCTACCCGCCAATGCTCAAAGTCAACAAAAACAGGTACCAGCTGCTCTTCGTCTCAGACAGAGGGTGAGCATCTCCAGCCCCGCTGGTCCCGTTGTTATCTCCATTTCTTGACATCGAATGCACTTGATTATTGTCAGATGCTCCCACCAAAGGGGAAGTTTCGTCAGCGAACCGCTCATGCGTCTCTGGCATTTGATCTAGCTAAAAGCAGCGTTGCTGGACACAACGATCCCCTGTTAACAATCGGGGAATTCGAAAGAAGTTACCGCGCGTATGTGTGATACGATCAGGTCTTCCTGCGTTAGTCATTCATGGGATAGAAAAAGCCCCGAAGATAGCACACGCGGACTAGTAGCATATAAAATGATTAGAAGGGGATAGATAGACCCAAGGGTTTGGAAAGGTCGTGGTACACAAGCTAGTCCAGTATGGAATGCAACCGTTCTGTGGCTTCTTCCTGCCGGAGGTTGAAGCAAGTGGTAGTGCAATATAGTGTGTGATAATCTCAAAAAGGCTGTTGAAACGTGGTTGGATTCCTCAGGGTTCGGCAAGAGGTAGTAGTTGTGGACACGCGAGTATGTGTTTATTGGAAAGTGAAGCGCTCAGGGAGCGGTATACTGCAGATAAGAGGTATGGCACGAAGATCAACCCTTTGGGTTCCTAGTCTTGCTCCATGCTAGGCGGACTATAAGAACAGCTCACTGCAGAGAAATAAAGAGGAGGCATTCCCGATGAATACGATGGGGATGTCTTGGATGACGATACCTTGTAGAATCGGGTCGACGTCAGCAGGCCATGCACGTGATATAGCCCGATCTGGAAGCCGGGTCGAACGGGTCACAATTGGATCAGGCGGAGACACGCAGTCGTCTGACAGGTGACAAACATCCATCCCCTGACTTAACTTTTATGGCTACTAGTCATTTAACAGCATGGGTTTCATTACCATTTGATTCATATCTATATGTATGTGCTCAACCTATGCACGCCCGTCGCAGACACAAGAACCCATCTTCTCGGAATATCTATAATGGAAGAAGCTTCAAATCCAGATCCCTTCAGGTGTGCCTGGAGAGCCGCACAATATCCCACGAGCAAAGAAAAGTAGCCTTTTCAAGCTATGTGCCCTTTTTGATCAACCCTCATCTGTAAATCCAACCCACCAAATATTCCCATCACCGCGATAAATGAAATAGTACAAGAAAGCCCATTATCAACATAGCACATAAAACAAATAAAACCAGTAACCCGACCGAACAAAAGGAGACAAGGTAGAAAACAAGCACAATTATGGGGTAGAGACAACAGCTTACCGACCCCGAGGAACGAAAACATGTAACGCTTATTATGGACACCAAATCCAGACCGACCGCAAATAGGAAACAAAGGAAGATTCAATCCAAATCTGGAAGCAGCCCCGCCATCACCCGGGGGACAAGGCCGCAAAGCAGGAGACGACATCCTGCAGGAAGCCAATAGCTGTCAACCGAGCCTCAGTGACGTGGCATCAACGTACAGGGGCCACAGAGCCGAACAGCGTACACTTGGCGATGCAATCAATCAAGAACGGAGTAAGGGACGTTTTGTATGCAGACACGCGCCCTCAACTCCTCGAGTTAATTAGTGAGAACAAACACAGTAGACGACCGAGGGTCGAGATGCAAAAGCATCAGTGAGGACTGAACAAAGCGAACAGAGTAATGTGACATGTTTTGCAAAGTCGACCAATTAGAAGTCCAACATGGCGCGTCACTCATAGTTGCTGCTGCAAGAGTTGAGGCGCAATCATGTGAGGAGCGACCATTGTGGGCATAGCCGATGGCAGGGTCATAGCGGAGGGCATCGTGGTCATGCCAGGAACATTAACCATGGCACCTGAGACAGATTCAGACGGGGAAGATCCCTCCTCGGCTGAACCAAATCCGTTCTCTTCATTTTCCAGGTCTTCCTCGTGGCCAGAAAGGGGCTGCTGCCCATCCTGTTGAGCCTCGTGGATCCGACGGTGTCTGTAAGGCAGATTAGCACTTTGCAATAAATACTAAGTGAACATGCTGATAACTTACTGTGCCAGGTTGTCCGATCGGGAGAATGCTTTGTTGCAGTAAGGACAAGGGTAGGGCCTCTCCTGAGTGTGTGTTCTCACGTGTCTGCATCCTTCATGTTAGTCGGCGGCTACAGAAACAATGGCTTTAAGGCTTCCGCCGATCCCTTCAGGAACCCGGACCAATTGGGAAGCTCATATAAATAGAATTGTGCAGCTTACCGTTTCAGATGTTCTAATCTCTTAAAGAGACGTCCGCATGACGGAATGGGGCAGGAGTGTGACTTCTGCGGGTAGGGGCCGAGCTCCATCATGGTAGCGCTCCGAGCACGACGGATGGGACCGTACCGGTCATTCTTATTCGTCGCACTGTTCTGGACAGATGCATCTAGCACCTCACCGCTAGGGAGAGGCGCTAAGTCATCTGGTTGATTTGCAAGAGCCAAGGTACCCTGCTCGGGGTTTTCCTCGAGACTCGGCAGCGGGGTGCTGTTGCGGGACATCTCATGCAGCAGGTTCTTCTGGGGAAGGACTGCAGCGCGATAGCCATTGGCAGCCCTGAAAGACTGATCATGATGAGACTCATCCACCTCCGCTACCGGAGCCACCGAGCTAGAGACTGAGCGACGAAGGTCGCTGGGTTTATGGGCAGCGTACGCAACAGCTTGGTTCGGTGCACTAGTCACCTGGGGGTGCGGCCCAGCGCCAACGCTGGTGATACTCGGGGGTATCGAAGACCGCCGCCTACGTTGCTTGTATGTAGGAGAGCCTTCGATGACCGAGTAGACATTTGAAGGGAAAGTTCTCGCAGGCGCCGGGTAGTGCGCATGGGCAAGATTCGACGGGGGTAGCTGCATCATTGGATTGAAGTGAGTTGCGGAAGAGATATCGGGGATGGCGGTGTAGAGACCGGTGTCTTCGTTAGCGATGTATGCCGGTTCAGCTCCAAGGTGAGAGCTGTGCTGAGGAGGTGTAACAGGCTCGAACGATAGACCCCGGTTGCTGTAGTCCTCGTATTGAGACGAAACGAACGATGGCGCCGGCGAGTATTCGACGAAGGTGGGCATGGAGGCATGGCGCTGGTGTAGACGAGCAATGGGCATGCCATTGCGGTCGTATTGAATGTGCCCGTATTCGGCTTCGCGCTTAATAACGCTCTGGGCCAGGGTGGTGGGCATAGGAACTGGGTTGTACATCGCCGGATTGCCCGACTCGTCCGGGAGAAGGGGTAGCGCCGGGGGAGCCATCTGGGGAGCCATCTGGGGAGGAGGCATAGCGTCAACGGTCCGAACCACTGGGGATGCGGGTTGGCCATATGTCGTACTTGCGTGTGCAGCAAACGATGAGGAATTTGCTTGTTGTGCCTTTGTGAGTTGTTCATACAGCGACTGGGATGAATCGAACTCGAAAGACAGAGCAGGCTCGCTGACCGCAACCGTGGTCGCCTCCTGCCCCATTTTCTCCCGCTTCAGATCACGTTCCAACGCATCGAGAAACAGCCGATCGTGCGGCACACTGTACCAGTAGAAGACTTTCTGCTTTTTCTGGGTTCGAATGCAATTGTTCTTGTAGAGGAAGTCGAGGAACGGGCTCTTGGGTTCTTCTAGAGTAGCATCAGTTCCGGCCTTGAGGTTTCGCAAGTCCGAGAAGATACCCTCCTCGAACTTCTTCGAATTCTTCACGGGGCGCCCGAAGGCCTGGAATCTGAATGCGAGGCATCTGACGATGTCGGTTCCGGAGATGTGAAAGAGATTACTCCTATCGCGAATCAGTTAGGTGTTCTTTGATCAACTGCATGGCATTGCGACGATCGCAACTAACCATAAGACGCAAGAGATGTAGTCGCCAGTGGGAAGCAAGAAGCGCCGGATGAGTTGATCTGCATGCCAGTCCACTGGCGCCGAGAGGAGAAAGTATTTGACTATACCAGAGATAGACCATTAGTCAGGAGTCCATCAAAGGGCCTGGGTTGAAGGCACTGGAAAGCCAGACTGGAGATACAGGCGTTGTAAGCATCGCAAAGGAAAACGTACGATTGTCAACCTGCTGCAGCGCGACTTGCGCGTCATGTGGAAGGCTTTGCTGGGCCTCAGTGGAAAGCATAAACGTCTCCGGCTTTTGGGGGGGTGCCATAGGGGCACCGTGTTGGGAATACATAGCGGATGTGATACAGTAGTCTGTCGGGGAATCAGTCAAATCTTAAAACGACAGTTTGCTTGCAAGCATAAGCGCGAACAAAGAAGAGCGCCATGGAAGCGGCAAGTGGACGGTGTCACAGAGCACCGGTTGGGCAGAGCAAGGAGTTACGCACAGTCACAACACCCGGTTAGGAAAGCGGACAAACAACCACTCGCAAGGAATCAAGGGGAGCGATCTCGGAGGATTGAGTGCTATATAAAGATAGAAACAGGTTTGGATATAGGGTGTTCGACGACGGGATCGTGAAACACAAAAGGGTTATCCAAACACAGCTGATGGGTATGAAAAAAGAGGTGCCAGCCTCTTGTATGGAAAGAGTAGCAAGCAAGTAGTTAGGCGCTGACGTTGTGCCGACCCTCGTCAACAAAGGGCAAATGAAAGGCAGTGAGAAAGAGAGAGCAACAGAGAGTTGAACTGGGCCAGCCCGATTACAAGTCCCTTGGATGAGATAACTCGCACGGCGAAAATGGGGAGGTGAACTGAAACGAAAGGAGGTGAAGAAGAAGAAGAGGAAGGACGAAGTAAAAATGGAAGAAGAAAAACAAGAGATGCCAGTCGCGATGGGGAAGAGTAGGAGGGGAAGGGGAAGAGAGGAAGAGGAAGAAGTGGAGGGATGAAGTAGGGACTTGCTTTTTTACAGCAGAGATGAGGTACAGATCAAGTATGGAAGAGCAGTCGGTAACCGGTAATAATAATGCCAATCGATAAAATAATAATCTAACAATAAATAATAAAATCGGGAAAAAGAACAATAATAATTTTAAACGACCAGCCAGTGTCGAGAGACGGAGACTTTGGGTCTGGGAGGAGGAATTCAGGGAGCGCCGCCGACCGAGACCCGCGGATCGAATCGCCCACTTCTGGAGTCTCTCTTTCGACTACTTTCTTCTCTCCCTCCTGGGCGGCTTGACTAAGTTACTTACTTAGTTGGTTGGGCTCCGGGATACGCGCACGGCGAAAAAGTAGGGCTCTTTTTTACCCACTGAGTAAAGAATAGGAAAATATAAGTGGAGACTGGCGCCAGGGACCGACTTCAGGGCAGGGGGGAAAGGGAAGAAATAGAAAAAATAAAAAAGAATATTTCAGAGTAAATAAAATAAAATAATAATATAATAACCAAAGAGGAGAAAAAAAAGAGGACAGAAAGTCTGAGAGAGCCTAAGGGCAAAAAGAGGAGAGAGAAGAGAGAGAGAGAGAGGAGAGAGGGCCCTCCCGGTAATCAAATCACACGATACAGGAATTATACACGTATGGTAAAAAGGGCCGCTCCCTGAAGTAACCTACCCCCAGGACTGATTATCCTCCTATTTGCTTCCCCCAGCAGCGAATTCACACCTCCAAAAAGTGGGGTCAGTGGTAAGATATTTAGGTATCCAAACGGTCAGGTACCAGGAGGATAACCAGATTACCAGACAGTGGGGCTGCCGCCGACTTCCAAAGATTCCAATCCATCCCATCCGTTAGTGATTTTTTTGTTGCCGGGCCCGCCTCCCTCTTGGGTTAGTCCACCTCCATCGTTGCTAAACTTATTCATAGAAACCTGCTGGAAGGTGGTAAGAGCATCCAGTACGGAGTAAATTATCTTGTTAAGTAGTCAACTTACTAGTCAGTTGGTTTTCTGGTCGGTCATACCAACAATGAAATGAGAAAAAAGGAAAAAGGAAAAAAGAAAATCATCAGTTGAAAGGGCCTCTAGTAGTACTACATACTAACTAACTCACATATACGACAAAATAATCATCTTGCACACCCTGTCTCTTCCTGCAGCTTGCAATCATACACCCCAAAGCTTTAAGCCAATCCCATTGATTCTGTGGGGTAGCCTACCTGCTCCGACTTGGCGACTGTTAATTTGTAGAGCGCTTCCTGAAGATATCTTACATCATGGGCCGCGCGATATTTACTGGCTTTCTGCTATGTGTGGGGAAGGTGTGGCTAACCTTACACAGAAGAAAGGAATGGGCAAACAGAACATGCAAAAGTGGAGTTGGTCCCGGTAGCCTAGGCACCTCCATGATGGATCATGGGTATCCGACGACCTGACTGTTGGGAATTCGGATTTGCAACCAAAATAGGATATCAATTTGCTTTCTCTGTGGACAGAATTCCTTGAGTGGGATCCAGGGAGCCTTAACACAAGTAAGCTCTATCTCTTGGCATCCCGATATTACTACCAGAAGCTTTTGGAAAGGGGGAAATCAGGAGAAGCGTTCCCCTCTGTGGTGTAGTAAGAGAAGGTATTGTGTAGTAAGTAGTTGTACACCACCAGATGTGCACATAGGCGCGCACGGGCGATGTACCCTCCTCTTTTCACTTACTTTGGCGATGATTTTTTTGGGGGCCTCATTCTTCTTGGGGGCCATTTGCCAGTTCTCCAGCCTATCCAAGCATTACACACATACACAGACACAACCCACCATTGACACTAGCACTGCATATCACAGCCAGCGGCTATGGTAAGTGGGAAGTCACATCGAATAAGAACGAGAAGATGCGGGTTGCTTAACCGCCCAATTCATCGCTACCAACCTTCTTCTACAGTAGTAAGTAGTCCACTACCCTTCCCTCTTTTTTCTTTTCTTTTTTTACACCCTTTGTGCCAGCAATGCTACCCGCTTGGTCAAGGCATGGAAATGAAATCACAAACCAAGGCGCCTCGCTGGGTTTGCCGCCCTGGGTGGAACCAAGAAAAGGCCACAACGCCAAGCCTGCACACCCGATCAAACTGGCGCGGGAAACAATCTTGAAGCATTCGCCCCTTGTTTCAGAATTCTGGTGAGCGCTTACTACTCCGCCAATGGCTGGCATGGATTATCCCTTCCAACCCACAATTTTCAGTGGCCCCAATTGAACTGAGAGAAGCAATATCCACTTTCTAGTCGTGGTACTAGTGTGCCTTCCTCTCCCTCTGTGAGATAGGTTTGTTTACCCTTGCCTACTTACTTTCCTGTATGTGACTACTGTAGCTATAGTATGACTAGTAGACTAGTAGGGTAGCTAGTAATAGCCCATCCATCCATTACCTTTGTTTTGTGTTTGTTCTAGCAACACAGCACGACAAAGGCTTCCAACCTGCTTCTTCAATGTGTGGTTGGATATCTGGGGGCTATGCCATGCTATCGTCAATGCAAATGATTGCCTGGTGTAGCATAGCATGGCATGGCAATGGCAGTGTTGTATTACTTACTTGTCATGAGCTCATCTGATTGTCAGACTAGCCATGCACCAGTACCACCGCCCAGTTTCTGTCCAACAGGCGAATTACATGCAGGGTTGTTATGCGGGTTTCCGAAGTAGTATCTAACTAGTAGAAACTCTTCAGGGCAACAGTAATTGACGGCACCAAAAATAAACCGACTGACTGATCTTACGTGATGACCAGTTTGATCGTGGCGCACAACGATGTACAGTCCTTGGTATTGTTCAGTTAGTAGATAGTAGTGGCCTCTTGGGAAGTCTACCGAAGTAGTGGTACAGTCTGATATGTTTTGCCCCCTTTGGCTTGCATATGGCCCCCCTTTGTTTGGGAAGATCAAGGGTACCGATGGAGGAGGTCACTCGGCCAGGCAGTGCTTACACACATGTACATACACATACACATACATTTTCCAAAAGCATGGCGGGCTTAGCTGCTCAAAGATAGGAATAGCCTACAGCCCAAAACGCCACTGCCACCAAGGGACGCATGACCGGTGAGATTTGCCGCTCAAGGCTGGTTGAGGGGGTTACTTTAGATAGTAGTAATTGGGGAAAGTAAATCCCGTACGTTGGCAAGTACCTACTCAGTAGGTACTTTCTGCCCTTTGATTGTCTTTAGATGTATATAACTGATCAAGGTGATCAATCACAATCACCATCATGGCGGCAAGCGCTACGCCCATTGGCCCACCAACCATAGCCTCCAAATAAAGATTAATATCGGATACAAATTATCACGATCGACTAAATCACATTCACCTGACGCTTTCACAAGATACAGACAACGATCTAAATTAAATCGCACACAGTATGAGGGGCCCGATTACCCGAGCTCAATTTTGAGACATCAAGGTTTGGTCCGTGTGCATCAATATAGTGCACTTCGATATTGGGATTGTGCTTTATGGGGTATGTTCCTAACTCTAAGAACATCAAGATCGTCCTCGTCGTCTGGATTCATAGATGCCTGATGATATTATCACTGGTATGTCAGAGATGACATAATGATCGCCTGAGTCACATACCAGGCTGAATCACTGTAGCAGGATAGGAAACAAGCGCGGGTAATGTCGCAATCCATGTTTCGTGACCCGAGCTAGCCCATTTGTTTAACGCGATCACAATGACAAATCTGAAAGCAATCGTTTGCTAGGTAATCTGGGAGAGAAAAGGCGGTAATGCGAAAAATGAGGTCTAGCCGGTTCAACCCCGGGGCATGCCATCATACGGTCAGGACGTTGAGCATCAGGGGGTGATCTGCGCAATCCAAAGGATGGATGCGAAAACGGCGAAGCTTAGTCGCCAAGCCTTATCAGCCCAATTCTTGTGGTATCCATGGTAGGATGTGTCTTCCGAAAGTCAGTCCGAAGTGTGCCGTAAGGCCATGATTGACCCCTATACTGTACTTCCTCCACTTCAGCCCGTTCAAGGAGGTTAAGATGGCTAGTATAGTCGGTATGCTGGTTATAGAGGCATACTTGGTGCAGCGGTGCTGGGATTGTCAGGCGGTCATTGGTCCGATCGTCAAGATCTTTATGTAAGTAGTCTACTCCACAGTTTCGGCCGAATTCTGAATGTCCGCAGAGAAAGAGAGAAAGACCTACAGAGATAGTCACCGTGCACTGCGCAGACTACAACGACTGCGTGTGCTGGGCAAAAAAAGGGGGTGCATCATGGGTATGCCGGTCAGGAGAGGTCAGGGACCACCAAGAAAACACAAAAATAGACAGGCTGATATCTGAGCACTGTCATCGATCAGG